AAGGACAGGAGATGGTGGAACAGGAGTTGACGGCATGGGTGGGGAAGCCTCAGATAACAAGGACAGGAGATGGTGGAACAGGAGTAGATGGCATGGATGGAGGAAGCCTCAGATAACAAGGACAGGAGATGGTGGAACAGGAGTTGACGGCATGGGTGGGGAAGCCTCAGATAACAAGGACAGGAGATGGTGGAACAGGAGTTGACGGCATGGGTGGAGGAAGCCCCAGATAACAAGGACAGGAGATGGTGGAACAGGAGTTGACGGCATGGGTGGGGAAGCCTGAGATAACAAGGACAGGAGATGGTGGAACAGGAGTTGACGGCATGGGTGGAGGAAGCCCCAGATAACAAGGACAGGAGATGGTGGAACAGGAGTTGACGGCATGGGTGGAGGAAGCCCCAGATAACAAGGACAGGAGATGGTGGAACAGGAGTTGATGGCATGGGTGGGGAAGCCTCAGATAACAAGGACAGGAGATGGTGGAACAGGAGTTGACGGCATGGGTGGGGAAGCCTCAGATAACAAGGACAGGAGATGGTGGAACAGGAGTTGACGGCATGGGTGGAGGAAGCCTCAGATAACAAGGACAGGAGATGGTGGAACAGGAGTAGATGGCATGGGTGGAGGAAGCCCCAGATAACAAGGACAGGAGATGGTGGAACAGGAGTAGATGGCATGGGTGGGGAAGCCTCAGATAACAAGGACAGGAGATGGTGGAACAGGAGTAGATGGCATGGGTGGGGAAGCCTCAGATAACAAGGACAGAAGGGCCAGGACCCTCAATAGCTGCCTGGTATAATATCCCCGGAAGTTACTGTTCTAGTTTTGAAGAATTGTTCTACTTGGGCATGCCTGATACCACAACTAAAAAAGCTGGGTTGATTGTGCAATACCTGCAAAGGTCTAGTGTGTCTTGAAGGAAAAATAAAGCTTGAATATAAGAGACCTCAGACCATCTGACCGCCCATCTACAGAAGAAATCTAATTGTTGGATAGTATTTAAATCAAGGCTTCCCCACACAGTTTATATTTGTTCAAGATGGTAAGAAGGTCAAACCTATGTACAAAAGAAAATAAGCCACATTTTATTCAAAGTCTTGGGGTCAAAGGAGTCTCAGTCCTTGAAATGCACTCTGGAGGATTTACAGGACAAAGATGGTCCGTCACTCATCTAGAAGCAGAAGCGAGAATAAGGCATCCTTTTTGTCTCCTTTCTTTCCCTTGGAATAGCCCAGTGGGGAGGGGAAGACAGTGGGGGCATCCTCCCAACTGTTTTCTCTCCTTGGTTCCCTGAGCCCTGGCATCTGTTAAAGGTGCTATCCTTGGATGCAGTTATGGCCCTCAGCCGTGGATCCAGAGGAGCTAAGTGATGGAATTCCTAACATTTACCAATGCATCTCTAGTCCTCCACTGGTGACTTCCCTTTGACTTTTTAATCTTGTGTGACCTGTGTGGCTGTCCAATAGATAGATGTTGGGAAAGACTATGCAACAGTTGTATTTTGGGATTGTTCCCAATAAAGGGCTTGTTCTGGGTTCAGCTCTCCAATTTGCTATTATGGCCCAGACTAAAGTATTTATTCTAAGGCAGTGGTTCTGGGTAACTTTTGGACATAAAATCCCCTTGTTTAAATAACGCTATAATTGAAGGCAGAATTGGTACCTTTAAAGAATATGGGGCCTGAATGGTGGTTTTCCTTCTGATAGGACAATATCAAGACACAATTTGGTTTTGGAGGATACTTTTCTTCTAATTGTTGAGTTTTCTAATTTACATAAGAAGAATAAGGCCTGGATTCTAGAATAGGGGTACAAAAAGGGAGGAGAATTGAGAAACTAGAGGTTTTTTGGCAAAGGGCCAACAAAGTACTTCATGGGGATGATTCCTATTCCCTAAGTAGTGTTGTAAACCTTGAAATCCCATGTGCTTTCCAGACCAAGCATAGTGAGAGAGAAAGATACTCAATGCAGAGGCAGGGGAAGACCCTCTGTTCCTAGAGAATCCCAAACATGGAATTCCCTTGAGCTATATTCCTGGTTACTATGGCTTTTACTTATCTTGCCTAATAGGATTATTTCCCTGAACTGTAAAAATTCCTGCAGCACTGCATACAGAGAAGGGATAGAGGACATAGTTGTCATGGAAAGGAAAGAAGAAAAATTGTGATAGGAAAAGCTTGGAGAACTTGTTAGTGAGGCCCAGTAGACAGTTGGAGGATGGGGTTTTTCCAGAAGCCTTTGGATAACAGTGGGGTGTAGCCCCACGTGGGAACTGTTAGTTGGCCCTGGACCTCTTCCAGCCCCATGTGACAGCTAGGCTCTCCATGAAAGAAAACTGGTTCAAAAGAGAGCCAACAATTAATAACTGGGTGTGGTGGTGCGCACCTGTAATCCCAGGTACTCAGGAGATTGAGGCAAGAAAATTGCTTGAACCCAGGAGGTGGAAGTAGCAGTGAGCCCAGATCGCGCCATTGCATTCCAGCTTGGGCAACAAAAGCTAAACTCTGTCTTAAAAAAAAACACTGGTCTAGGCAAAGAGTTGTTTAGTAAGACGTCAAAAGCACAGGCAACAAAGCAAACCCTATAAATAGGGTTACATAAAGCTAAAGAGCTTCTGCACAGAAAACTTTTTTTAAAAAATTAAAATTAAAAATAAACAAAGTGGAGCCCCTACTGTGGCTCCCATGCCCCACTAACCCCCACACCCCCATTCTGCAACAATAGCATCGAAAAAAAAATTGTTTCCTACGATCCATGTTAGAGGAAGTAAAAACAAAAAAAAAAGGAAATAGATCTCAATAGGCATTTTCCAAGTGATGACGTACAAATGGCCGACAGGTAAATGCAAACACGTTTAGCATCCCTAATCATCACAGAAATTCACATCGAAACCACGATAAAATATCACCTAACCTCCATTCAGATGCCGATTATCAACAAGTCAGAAAACAGCAAATGATGACAGGGACACAGAGAAACAGGAGCGCTCAAACACTCTTGATGAGAATGTAAAATAGTCTATGCACTGTGGAAAACTGCATGGAGGCTCCTGGAGAAACTGAAAATAGAGCTACCGTATGACTCCACAATCACACTGCTGGGTACACGCCCATGAGAAGGAAACTCAGTATATCAAACACACATCTGCGCTCCCATGTTTACTGCAGTGCTATTCACAACAGCTGAAATACAAAATCAACCTAAGTATCCATCAACAGATGAATGGACAGCAAAGTGTGGTACACACACAAAAAGAAAGGATTTGTGAATGTACTAAAAGCCATTGAACTGGATGCCTTAAATGGGGAAGTTGTATGCTATATAAACTCTATTTCAATAAAGTTGTTTTTAAAAACATAAGGGGCCAGGTGTGATGGCTCATGCCTGTAATCCCAGCACTTTGGGAAGCCGAGGCGGGCGGATCATGAGGTAAGGAGTTCGAGACCAGCCTGGCCAACATGGTGAAACCCCATATCTACTAAAAATACAAAAATTAGGCTGGCAAGGTGGTGCATGCCTGTAATCTCAGCTACTCAGGAGGCTGAAGCAGGAGAATTGCTTGAACCCTGGAAGAGGAGGTTCTGGTGAGCCAACATCACTCCACTGCACTCCAGCCTGGGCTAAGAGTGAGACTCCATCTCACAAACAAACAAAAAACGGCCTGGTGGTCCTGATGTGACGCTGTCAGCCATGATTCCAGTTACTGTCTTAAAACGCTGCACATAAAATAAGAAATTACATTTTCTTGTGAATTGGGAACTTTCATCAATTCTCATCATAACTACTGTTTCCATCAACCACAGTTACCATTTTGAATTCTACTCTAAATAAATATTTGTAATCAGCAATAGTCCAAATTTTTTTTCTTTTTTTCTTTCTTTTTCTTGAGACAGTCTCACTCTGTCACCTAGGCTGGACACCTACTCTACTGCAACCTCTGCCTCCTGGGTTCAAGCGATTCTTCTGCCTCAGCCTCCAAAGTAGGTGGGACTACAGGTGACTGCCACCACGCCCAGCTAATTGATGGCAGTATAGATGGGGTTTCACCATGTTGGCCAGGCTGGTCTTGAGCTCCTGACCTCATGATCCATCAGCCTCCCAAAGTGCTGGGATGACAGCCATGAGCCACCGAGTCCTGCCCACAAATTTGCCTTTTATGGAAAAAACTCCAAGGAGCCCTCTTGAACACAGGTTTCTGATAATTCACATCAATGAACCACCCAGGCTTCACCACTATGTGACACACGCATGTGAGAGACTTGCACTTATACCCCCTCAATACAATATTTTTTTTTAAAAATCAATGGGCTGGGTGCAGTGTCTCACACCTGTAATCCCAGCACTTTGGGAGGCCAAGGCAGGTGAATCACTTGTGGTCAAGAGTTTGAGACCAGCCTGTGTCTACTACCAATAGAAAAATTAGCCAAGTGTGATGGTTCATGTCTGTAATCCCTGCTACTCAGGAGGCTGAGGCAGGACAATAGCTTGAATCTGGGAGGTGGAGATTGCAGTGAGCCAAAATTGTGCCACTGCTCTCCAGCCTGGGAGACAGAGTGAGACGCAGTCTCAAAAATAAAAATAAATCAATGAACTGAAAAACAATTTCTAGAATTTTAAAAAGGAAACCTAAGCATTCAAAAAACTGATAAGCAAGATCAAGCAAGACAAAAAAATCTATAAAGACAATGTTTTCATAACTTGTATTTAAAACATTTTTGATTTATTACTTTTTTTTTTGGAGTCGGTCTCACTCTGTCACCCATGCTGGAGTGCAGTGGTGGAATCTTGGCTCCCTGCAACCTCCGTCTTCTGAGTTCAAGTGGTTCTCCTGCTTCAGCCTCCGAGTAGCTGGGACTGCAGGCACGTGCCACGAGGCCCAGGTAATTTTTGTATTTTTAGTAGAGATGGGGTTTCACCATGTTGGTCAGGCTGGTCGCAAACTTCTGATTTCAGGTGATCCCAGCCCCTTCTTCCCCCCCCCATTCCCCCTCTCTCCCCTGCCTGGGACTCCCAAAGTACTGGGATTACAGGTCTGAGCCCCACTCCCGGCCCTTCACTTGTTTTCTTTTCTAGATTTAAGAAACGTCTTTATTAGAAGTCATCTGTAATTTACACTGATTTGTAAGCCACAATTTTGTGAAAAAGGTGAGTGGAAGTGTATGTTTTTCCTCTCCCTTCTTGATCCCTCCAAAGTTTGGAAACTATTCATAAATATCTTTTTTTTTTGAGACAGAATCTTGCTCTTTCGTGAGGCTGGAGTGCAGCAGTGATGTGAACTCAGCTCACTGCAACCGCTGCCTCCTGTGTTCAAACAATTCTTCTGCCTCACCTTCCCAAGTAGCTGGGATTATAGGTATGAGCCACCACACCGGTTAATTTTTTGTATTTTTATAGAGATGGGGTTTCTCCACGTTGGTCAGGCTGGTCTCAAACTCCCGACCTCAAGTGATCCACCTGCCTCGGCCTCCCAAAGTGCTGGGATTACAGGCATGCGCCACCGCGCCGGACCGAGAGAGGCTGATATTTCTCCCAACATTGCAGGGTGTGTACACCCCATGGTGATATTGTTCTTAATGTCCAGAAGGGAAGAAGATAACATTATCCCCAGAATCACAGCAGGTGTACACCTTTCTGTGATATTGTTCCTGGGGCGAAGAAGATAATATTACACCCAGCATCACAGGGGCTGTACAACTTCTTGTGATACTGATCCTAATATCCAGGAGAGAACGATATTAATTCCAGCATCTCAGGGGCTGTACACCATTCTGTGATATGGTTCCTAATATCCACATGGGAAGAGGATAATATTACTCCTAATATCGCAGGGGTGTTAACCCCACCCCTGTGATTGTTCCTGATATCCAGGGTGGGGGTGACATGACATTACTCCCAATATCACGGGAGATGTACACCCCCACTATGACAGTGTTTCTAATAGCCAGAGGAGGAGAGGATGACATGACTTCCAGCATCACAGAAGGCGTATGCCCGCCTGTGATGTTTTTTCTTTTTATTTTTTGGCAGAGTCTCACTCTGTTGCTTAGGCTAGAGTGCAGTGGTGTGATCTTGGCTCACTGCAACCTCCATCTCCCAGGTTCTTTTTTTTTCTTTCTTTTTTTTAAAGAAAGAGAAAAAAAGGAGTGAAGAAGAGGAAGAAAAAGTGGGAGAGAGAACGGGAATATTGCTTTATTCTGAAAATGGGTATTAATAATGGCAGATCAATATTTTGTGTATTTAAAGTGGAGAATGTATATTTTGTGTATTTAAAATGGAGAGCTCTATAAATATTTATTAAGTTTACTTGTTCCGGATCTGAGTTCAAGTCCTGCTGTCCTCATCAATTTTCTGTCTCGTTGAGTCTAAATCTCTTTATGGGTCTTATGTATCTGGGTGTTAGGGTCGTTAGCTCTTATTGTTGCATTGATCCTTTTACCACTATACCTTTGTTGCTTTGAAATCTATTTTATCAGATGCGAGAATTGCAACTCCTGCTCTTTATTTATTTTTGCTCTCCATTTGGTTGGTAAGTCTTTCTCCATCCCTTTGTTTTGAGTCTTTGTGTATCTTTGGATGTGAAATGGGTCTGGATGCAGCATACCATTAGGTTTTGGCTGTATCTTTTGATTGGGGGATTTAGTCACTTAAATTTAGGGTTACTTCTATTTGATGTTAACTGGCTATTTTATCCATTTGTTGATGTAAATTCTTTATGTTGATGCTCTTTACTTTTTGGTATATTTTTAGAAACACTAATACTGGTTGTTTCTTTCTGTGTGTAATGCTTCTTTCAGAAGCTTTTGCAAAGCAGGCCTGGTGGTAATAAAATCTCTGAGTACTTGCTTGTTCATGAAAGATTTTATTTTTCCTTCAATTGTGAAGCTTAGTTTGGCAGGATATGAAATTCTGGGCTGAAAGTTGTTCTTTAAGGATGTTGAATATTGGCCCCCACTCTCTTCTGAAGTCTGATAGGGTTCCCTTTGTGGGTAACCTGATCTTTCCCTCTGGTTGCCCTTAGTATTTTCTCTTTCGTTTCAACCCTGGTGAATCTAATGATTATGTGCCTTGGGGTTGCTCTTCTTGAGGAATATCTTTGTGGTCTTCTCTGTATTACCTGGGGTTGAATATTGTCCTGCTTTGCTAGGTTGGGAGATTTTTTTTCTAATATCCAGGAAGGGAGAGCATCATATTGCTCCCAATATCGCAGTGGGTAAACACAGCCCCTGTGGTGGTGTTTCTGATATGGCGGGGCAGGGGGGAAGAGGATGATATTACTCCCAATATCGTAAGAATTGTACACCTGTGCTGGGCTATTTTCCCTGGTATCTGGGGGTAGAGGCTAACACTCCTCCCAGTATCGCTGGTGGTGTACACACCGTCTTTTAACGTTGTTCCTAATAGCTAAAGGGGCAGAGAGGGATATTACTCTTCATATCTCAGGGGGTGTACACCACCTCTATAACACTGTTCCTAATATCTGAGGTGGGGGGGACAGAATAATATTACTCCCAATAAAGCAGCAGTGTCCATCCCCCTCTGATATTCTTCTTAGTATCCAGGGGGAAGAGGACGATATTACTCCCAGTATCCTAGATATCCTCCCGCTCCCGTGATATCGGTCTAATACCCAGGGCTGTACATCAGAAGGGATGTATCACCCTGTGTGATACTGTTTCTAATGGGGGAAGAGGATAATATTACTCACAGAATTGCATTAAGTTTACATGCCCCCAGGCGGTGTACAACGCTTCCGTGATATAGGTCCTAATATCGGGGGAGAGAGGATTAGCCTCTCAATATCGCCAGAAGTGTACACCACCACTGTAAGATTGTTTCTAATATCCAAAAATGGAGAGGATATTGCTCCAAATTTCTCAGGAAGCACACAACCCCCCTGTGATACATCTATTCCTAATATCTAGGGATGAGAGATGATATTGCAACCAATGTGGCTGGGGCTGCACACCCGCCCTGTGCTATTGTTCCTAATATCCAGGGAAGGAGAGGATGTTGTCACTGCCCATATGGTAATACTCTCAATATGGAAAGAGGTGTACACCACGCTGTGACACTGTGACTAACATCCACAAAAAATAATTACATTAAATATTGCATGGGGTGAAACCCCTGTGATTTCAATTCTATAACAAGGGGGTGAGGATGATATTTTTGTCAATATCACAGAGGAAGAACTACAATTAGTGTTATTGTGCCTAATATCAAAAAAGAAACAGAATAACATTATATTCTCCCTATGATACGGTTCCTAGTATCATATTACTCCAAATTTTCTAAATAGCTGGTGTGGGTAATATCCCGTTCATGATATCCGGGGGGGCCAGGGTGACATTACTCGCCCTATGGCTAGTGGGCTGCAGGCAGCTCCCTAGCCATGGGGTTCGTAATATCCAGGAGGGGCCGGGGTGACATTACTCGCCCTATGGCTATGGGGCTGCAGGCAGCCATGGGGTTTGTAATATCCGGGGGGCTAGGGTGACATTACTCACCCTATGACATTAAACATATTACTCCTAATTACTCCGAATACATTCAGACTTTTTCTTGTTTCATGGATATATTACTCCTAATACATTTTGTTTAAGACCCTATGACATTATTTATAATATCTTAGAAAGATATTACTTTAATATCGAAGCTGATTTTAAACATAATGTATAAATAAGGGTGTACATTATGTTTAAGACCCTATGACATATTTATTATATCCTAGAAAGATATTACTTTAATATCAAAGCTGGTGTCCACCACGTGTATACTCAGAAATGTTATTCATAATATTTTAAGCAGATATTACTTCTAATATCACAGTGGGTGCATGATGTCAGCCTGTCTGGCCCATGGACAATCACTCAGCCTGCAGCTGGGGCCTGGCTAGGCCAGACAAGGGGCCGGGTGCATACCAGGGAGGGTGCCTGTCCATCTCCACAGCCATCCTCCTCCTGGGCATACTCACCAAAAGACACTCCTTAAAACGAAATAAAATGTATTATTAAATACTTCAGTGCGGGTGCATAACCCCATCATGTTGGTGGTGTTCACATAGTTGGACCTGGAGTCCTTATCGGGGCTGTGGTTGTGGCATTTCTACTCCTCAGACATGGAGCTCTCTGGCCACAGTAGGAGGCTATAGTCCTCCAAGGGCAGCTGAGACAGGTAGATCACTTGAGGTCAGGAGTTCAAGACCAGTCTGGTCAACATGGTGAAATCCCGTCTCTACTAAAAACACAAAAATTACACCGGCGTGCTTGTACGCACCTGTAAACCTGGCTACTCAGGAGGCTAAGGTGGGAGAATTGCTTGAACTCAGGAGGCAGAGGTTGCAGTGAGTCAAGGACGACAGAGCAAGGCTCCATCTCAAGAATGAATGAATAAATGTAAGTAAATATTTCAAAGTAAGTATTTCAAACATACATAAATCTGTAGGAGCCCATATGCCAAACCCCTGGGTACCACTCTCTGGGGTTATCAGAACATACTCATATGTAGTGGTACTTGCTTCAGATTTTTTTGTGTTTTATGAACTAAAACAAACTTATGTATGAAATAAAGGCCCCAGAACCTCCCCCCACAGGCTTATTCCTCTACCCATCCCTAGAGGTACCCACTCCTCTGAATCTAGAGTTTGTCACTCCTGCGCAACGTTTTCTAGTTCTGCTGCCTCACTGGCACTGGTGATGCCGGTCATGCTCAGGCTCCTCTTGATCTCGGCCACGATCAGGTCGATGTCTCCCTCCTGGTCCTCTAAGTCCCGTCCCATGCCTCGGGTGGTAGTGGGAGGCACCAGTGTTCCCATTGGCCTCTTTGCTGGGACAGTAGTAGCCATCTTCTTCCTGGTCGTGGGCCTCCAGGACAGAGGGCTCGTCCTCCAGGATGGGCAGGTGGCCATCCGGGTAGTCCTGGCTGCCCTCAGCACAGTGGCTGTGGGGGTGCAGGCCTGCCGAGTCCAGCCATTCCTCTCCTGCCCCAGAGTAGGACTCTCCTGTCCCAGGGAAGGTAGCAGAGGGGCCTGAGAGCAAGGGACCTCCTTGGTACAGCCCCTGCAGATGCTGAAGAGAGGCCGTGAAAGGTACTGGTTGCCTTGCAGTTCTAATGGGGGGCTGAGCTCTTCACTGGTCCAGTTATGAGGCATTTTGTGTAGATGCTCCTGGCACTTGTTGGTGTCCACGGGTGCGTGCCATGGACCAGGTACTCATCCCCATTACAGTCCATGCCCTCCGGGCAGCTGTTGTCCTTGGGGCTGTAGCAGATGTTGTAGGTGATGCCCTCCTCCTCCTCCAATATCGCAGTGTGTGGTGTGTGTGAGGCGGGTATGATATGTGTGTGCTGTGTTTGTGGTGTATATGGGTTAAGTGTGTGGGGTGTATGAGGTGGGCATGGTATATATGTGGTGTGTAGTGTGTGTGGGTTAAGTGTGCCTGGTGTGTGAGGTGGGTATGATATGTGTAGAGTGTGTGTGAGATGGCATGGTATGTGTGGTGTGTGTGTGGTGTATATGGGTTAAGTGCGTGGGGTGTGTGAGGTGGACATGGTATATATGTGGTGTGAGAGGTGGGTGTGTATTGTGTGTGGTGTGTATGGGGTATGTGTGTGAGGTGGGTATGATATGTGTATGGTATGTGTGAGGTGGCATGGTGTATGTGTGGTGTATATGGGTTAAGTGTGTGGAGTGTGTGTGGTGGGCATGTGTGTGCTATGTGTGTGGTGTGTAGTTGTTCACATAGTTGGACCTGGAGTCTCCATCGGGGCTGTGGTTGTGGCACTTCTACTCCTCGGGCATGGAGCTCTCTGGCCACAGTAGGAGGCTATAGTCCTCTAAGGGCAGCTCCACGTCTTTGCTCCTGGCCGTGGGGGACAGGGCCCGGCCTCAGCTCGTGGTCCAACATGTTGCTCCCCACACTCTCATGCTTCCAGTGGGCCATGGCAGGCACTCACGCAGCCATCATCGCCTGGAGGCAGCCACAGTGGGAGGAACATTGGGAAGGACAGAGTCAGAACCTCACAAAGCCCGGCCATGCACGGGGCCACTCCAGCCTGACGGCACTTCCCACCCCATTCTCCAACAGCAACGTGAAAAATGACAGCTGAAGGTTGAGTCTTTTACCAAATCGCATTTTATTATTCATGAGCATTATAATCAAACCCACCTGTGCGCCTTTGAGGGTCTCCTCTTCTAGCTGGGGAGACATCAGCACTGGGAGAAAACAGCCCACAAGGAAGGGCAGACACCAAGGGGAGGAAGCAGGACTTCCCACACCAGCCACCACTTGGAGTCAAGAGAGGTGGGAGAAAGGCCAGTCTCCTCCAGGAAGGCAGCCACTGGGGCAGAGGGGCCAGCCTCCCAGGCGATCAGGACATGAGCACACCCCAGGGCACAGCCAGAGACACCTGAAATGCAGGAGGCAGTGCTGACCCAAGGGAGAGCGGGACCAGGGGATGTGCCAGCCAGGACAGCCGGGGGCGTGCTGATGGACAGTATGTATTTGGGGAAAACTAAATCATCCCATTTCATTCAATGAGTAGTTTGTATGGCAGGGGTGTGTGGTGTGTGTGTGAGATACAGTGTGTGTGGTGTGGTGGATAGGGAGTGTTTAGTGTGGGGTGTGTGTGGTGTGGTGGATAGGGAGTGTTTAGTGTGGGGGGTGTGTGGTGTGGTGGATAGGGAGTGTTTAGTGTGGGGGGTGTGTGTGTGTTTGATGACGAAGTGTTATGGAGGGTGTGGTGAGTGTGTGGAGTGTACTGTGTATGGTGTGTGGTATCTGGTGTTTGTGATGTGAATGTGATGTGTATGTGGTACGCGTGGAGTGTGATGTAGTGTGGAAGGGTTCAGTGTGTATTTTTTGTGTCCATGGTGTAGTGTTTGTGGTGTGTGGTATGTATGAGGTGTGTGTAATGTGTGTGGTTGTATGAGGTGCGTAGAGTGTGTGTGGTGCGTATGGGGTGTGTGTGTGTGCATTACATGTGTACAGTGTATGTATATATGATATTGTGTGGTGTGTGTCTTATCTGTGTAGTGTGAATAAGTTGCCTACATGGAAGGCAGTGTGTTGTATGGGTGATGTAATATGTATGAGGGTGTAGTGTGCTGTGTGTATGGTTTTTATGAAGTGTGTGAGGTGTGTGGCATGTATGGGGTGTGTGAGTATATACAAAATGTGTATGGTGTGCATGTGTGGTATCATGTGGTGTGTGTGGTATGTGTGGCATGTGTGTATAAGGTGTGTGTGGTGTGTATGGTGTGTGTGGTGTGTGGTATGTGTGAAGAGTGCATGCTGTGTATGAAGTATGTGTGTCGTGTGTGTGGTGCATATGGGTTAAGCGCCTGGTGTGTGTGAGGTGGGCATGGTATATATGTGGTGTATGTGAGGAGGTTATGATATGCATGTGGTGTGTATGGTGTGTGTGAGGGGGATGTGGTATGTGTGTGGTGTATATGAGTTGAATGTGTGGGGTGTGAGGTGGGCATGGTGTATACGTGGTGTGTGTGTGAGGTGCATATATGTGTGTGGTGTGTGTGAGGTGGGCATGGTGTATATGTGGTGTGTGTTATGTAAGGTGGGTATAGTATAGTACATGTGTGGTGTACCTGGGGTGTGTGTGGTGTGCGTGAGGTGGGTATGATATATGTATGGTATGTGTGAGGTGGGCATGGTGTATATGTGGTGTGCGAGGTGGTGTGTATTGTGTGTGGTGTGTATGGGGTGTGTGTGTTAGGAGTGTATGATATATGTATGGTATGTGTGAGGTGGGCATGGTGTATGTGTTGTGTATATGGGTTAAATGTGTGGAGTGTGTGTGGTGGGCATGGTATATATGGAGTGTGTGGTGTGTGAGGTGGATATATATGTGTTGTGTGTGGTACATGTGTGGTGTATGTGAGGTGGGCCTGGTATGTGTGTGGTGTATATGGGTTAAGTATGTGGGGTATGTGAGGTGGGCATGGTATGTGTGTCATGTGTGGTATGTATGGGGTATGTGTGGTATGTATGATGTGGGTATGATGTGTGTTGTGTGTGGGGTGTATGAGGTATGTGTGTGTGCTGTGAGGTGGGCAGGGTGTGTGTGCAGTGTGAGGTGGATATGGTATGTGTGGTATATGTGGTGTGTATGGGGTATGTCTGGTGTATGTGACATGGGCATGGCATGTGTGTAGTGTGTGAGAGGTGGGTATGATGCATGTGTTGTGTGTGGTGTATATGAGGTATATGTGTAGTATGTGAGAGGTGGGTATATGTATGTTGTGTGTGGTGTGTATGGGGTATGTGGGTGGTGTGTGAGGTGGGCATGGCATGTGTGTAGTATGTGAGGTGGGAATGGTATGTGTGGTGTGTGTGGGGTATGTGTGTGGGGTGTGTGAGGTGTGCATGGTACATGTGCAGTGTGAGGTGGAAATGGTATATGTGCCGTGTATGGGGTATGTGTGTGTGGTGTATGTGAGATGGGCATGACGTGTGTAGTATGTGAGAGGTGGGTATGATATGTGTGTGGTGTGTATGGGGTACGTGTGTGGTATGTGAGGTGGGCATGGTATGTGTGGGGGGCATATACATATGTACACACATGCATACCTGTGCACTGCTGATGACAGGCATGCCAGCAGCCTGGGACACGCCACAGTGACAGCTCAGCCAAGGCAGGGCTGCGGGCAGGAGTGGCCAGGCCCCCGGGCAGCCCAGGATCCTGGATGTACTAAGAGCCTAGGAGGAGAGAACAAGCTGCGTCAACACCTCCACCCAAGTTCATCACTCACATGAACCTATAAGCTGCACTGAAACTGTTCCACTTGTGATTAGAACCAGAAACACTGCAGATGGGGGCAGTGACTAGAACCAGAAACACTGCAGATGTGCCCAGTGATTAGAACCAGAAACACTGCAGATGGGCCCAGTGATTAGAACCAGAAACACTGCAGATGGGCCCAGTGATTAGAACCAGAAACACTGCAGATGGGCCCAGTGATTAGAACCAGAAACACTGCAGATGGGCCCAGTGATTAGAACCAGAAACACTGCAGATGGGCGCAGTGATTAGAACCAGAAACACTGCAGATGGGCGCAGGGATTGGAACCAGAAACACTGCAGATGGGCCCAGTGATTGGAACCAGAAACACTGCAGATGGGCCCAGTGATTAGAACCAGAAACACTGCAGATGGGCCCAGTGATTAGAACCAGAGACACTGCAGATGGGCCCAGTGATTAGAACCAGAGACACTGCAGATGGGCCCAGTGATTAGAACCAGAGACACTGCAGATGGGCCCAGTGATTAGAACCAGAGACACTGCAGATGGGCCCAGTGATTAGAACCAGAGACACTGCAGATGGGCCCAGTGATTAGAACCAGAGACACTGCAGATGGGCCCAGTGATTAGAACCAGAGACACTGCAGATGGGCCCAGTGATTAGAACCAGAGACACTGCAGATGGGCCCAGTGATTAGAACCAGAAACACTGCAGATGGGCCCAGTGATTAGAACCAGAAACACTGCAGATGGGCCCAGTGATTAGAACCAGAAACACTGCAGATGGGCGCAGTGATTAGAACCAGAAACACTGCAGATGGGCGCAGGGATTAGAACCAGAAACACTGCAGATGGGCGCAGTGATTAGAACCAGAAACACTGCATTTGGGCGCAGTGATTAGAACCAGAAACACTGCAGATGGGCCCAGCACAGCCAAGCGGGGGGAACTGTCCCCAATGTTCTCCTTCACCATCTGCAGCCAGATCTACCACCAGCAGCCTTTCCAGGCAGTGCCTGCCTTGGGGAAGGGGCCCCAGGGGCAGGTCCCCGCGTGCCCCCAACCCAATGCCTGCAGCCCCAGGGCAACGAGGTGCGGGGTCTTTAATTGAGAAGGTTTTCTCTCTGGGCCTTATTATAAAGAGAAATGGAAGGGGGCAAAGATCCGGGCTCGGGTTCTCCGGGGATAACGAACCCAGAGGCGACCCCAACCCAGTTGCCGCCCGGCACCGAGACTTGATGCCAGTGCCAAGCGAGGACGAGGGAACGCACCAGCGGCCCGCCTAGCCCGGCGGCGGGACCCGAGTGCCCCCCCACGACCCCCAGACAGAGCCTCTAGCTGGCGCCGGGTGGCCCCCCCCACCCAACCCGGAGATGCAAGAGCTTCGCCTAGTACCCGCTGCACCCACCCACCGGTCGTGGGAGAGGGAAGTGGGCAGGTAGGAGAGGAGCGGGGTCCGGGGGCACCCGCCCGCCCTGGGGGCTGCACTCCCAGATCCCAGCAACAGCCGCCCCGCAGTCCCGTCGAGTCCACACCGCAGCGCTCGGGAGCACTGGGACCAGAGCCTCCTCCGCGCCCCCGGCATCCGGGCCTCTGCAGCGCCGAGGGGGCCCCCAGGCTGCCACTGCCGCCGGCGAGTCCGGGCCCCCCAGCCCACCTGGCCAGGGCGCAGGGCTGCCGTTCCCACCGGCCGCCGCCCGCTGGGTCCGCGAAACCGAGCTCCTCCGCGAGCCCGCGCCCAACCGCGCACACCCAACCCGGCGCCGCAGAGCAGGGGCACCGCGGTGCGGGGTTTTTAACTGAGAAGGTTTTCCCTCTGAGTCTCAAAAGGAAAGGGGAGTGGACAGCATCCCGGCTCGGGTTCTCCAGCCACGGAACGCACCGGCGGCCCGGCCAGCCCGGTGGGACCCGAGCGGGCGCCCTCCCTCCCCCACCCCCACCAGACCGCGCCTGTAGCTGGCACAAGTGGCCCGTCGCTGCGGTGACCCCGCGCGGGATGCGAGCGCCGCCGCCTGGCCCCGCTGCACCCACCCGCGGGTCGTGGGAGGAGGCAGTGGGGCCGCCGGGCTGCACCCCCAGATCAAAGCAAAAGCCGCCCCGCAACCCCTCGGCGTCCAGAGGGCAGCGCTCGGAGCACTCGGGCCGCAACCTCCACGCCGTCCCCGACTCGTCCGGGTCCCGGCGGCGCCGAGCGAGGCCGAAGGCTGGCACCGGGGAGTCAGGCAGCCCGGGTCCGCCGCTCACCTGCGCGGGGCGGGGGTAAGGACCGGGGGGCGCTGCTTCCGCGCGCTGCGGTCCCGCCGAGTCCGCCTGCTCCGTGTGCAGCCGAGCTCTCCAGCGAGCCCGCGCCCCGCCGCACACACCCTCCGCCGCGGAGTCCCGGGCATGTCCCAGGAGCCGCGTCCTGCAGGCGCGCACGGCCGCCCCACCTGAGCCTGTGGGACACGCGCCCCCGAACCTTCCCCTTCGCCTCACCCTCTCTCGGGTCACCGGGGCATGAAACGCTTCTTGGCGACTCGGCGCGGCGGACAGAGGTGGAATACAAAGATGATGCGTCGGAGCCGGCCGTGCACGAGGCCCTGCGCCCCCCGGCCTTGGCCCTGGCACAGTCGGCAGGGCGGGCGGGTGCACCCGGACCCGGACCCGGGCTGGAGCTCAGACGCTGGCAGGCGCGGCGCCCCCAAATGCCCCGGGACCTGGGGAGCACCCAGATTCCCGAGTCACGTCCTGGCCCTGCTGGCTGGGGAGCTGTAGGGGTCTGGTCCCGCGGGTAGAGCCGGTGAACACGAGGCTCCCACCATGCCACGGCTGCCCTGCTCACTCTTCCCCTACACAAGCAGTTCTAAGAGGCGACCCTAGAGCAAGGAACCCTCGGGGATCGCCGCCTCCGAAAGCCACATCCAGCAGGAGAGGCCCTAGGCGCATGCAACACTCCAAGTCTTCCCTATGGTCCCTTCTAAGCATCCCAGGACCCGGTTTCTGATACCCTGTCCTGCTTTAGCACCCTAGGGCCTCACTCCAGGCCATTCTCTCCTTGCTGTCCTGAATGGAGAGGATCCTGACCTCCGTGGGGCCCTGGGGAGCACACACACTCACACACACATCCCCAGGGGAACCAGTCTTTGCCTCCACAGCGTGAGAAATTCCCTGGAGGCCCTGGACAGTAGTGCTAGAAACTCCTGTGTCACCTTCCGCCCTCTGGCCCTTTCCTAGAGTCCCAGGCAGATGTGTTAAGCCGTGGGAGACGCACAGGATGCTTTGCCTGGGCAGATCCGGGGCTCAAGTGCCTCCCTCCCTGAGTGATTTGCCCTCTTCTGTCTTTGTGGCTGGATTAGGTGAAGCTGAGTCCGAAGTAGGGGGGTAAAAGAGGACAGGGGACTTAAGGGGTGAGGAGAGCCCATCTTCCTGCTGCCTTTAGAGCCGGAGCTGAGACCCTGAGAAGGGGCTGAGGAAACCGAATCCTGAGCTGCACTAGGGTTAGATACAGTGTGTACTTGGCCTCTCCTCACTCTGCCCCCGCCAAACACTCACAAATCCCCAGGGCCAGAGCTGCCAGTGGGGGCTGCTCCTGGTAGGACAGCCTTGTAGCCACAGGGCCAAAGGCAGAGCTGGGGCAGGCCAGCGAGGTTCGTGACCCCCTCCCGGCTTAGGTGAACACACCTTCACTGCTTACTTTCCAGCTGGATAGACATTCTGCTTACATGCTGGCCAACACAAAGTTCATCTGGCCTCTGTGGCCCAGCCTTTCTCCAATGCCAATGGTGGGAAGCAACAATTATGAAGCAATGATTCCAAGAAGACAAATTTAGTCATCTTCTTGCCTGACCTTCATGTGGTCACATCCCATAGGAAGCCAGACAGCTGTGCCTGAAGCTGATCCACACAACCCCCCGCCTCCTCCAACCCCCACCCCCATCTGTGTGAAAGTGTGCGAGTGGGCAAGTTGCATGCTGTTCCTTCAGCAGCCTCCCTTGAAATCTTCCTGTGAGCAGGGTCTGGGCCAGTCACTGGAAATTAAACCCCATGCCAGCACCCAGGAGTGAGTGGCTGATGTCCACAGTCCACAGGATGGAAGGTTCAGGCCTAGGGTCAGGTGGCTCCCACCTGTAATCACAATGCTTTGGAAGCTGAAGCGCGAGGCTCACTGGAGCCCAGCAGTTCAAGTTTGCAGTGACCTATGATCATGCCACTTGCACTCCAGCCTTGGTGATCGAACAAGACCTTATCACTTTAAAAATGGAATAAATTAAATAAATTTAAAAATAAAGGTACAGGCCTGCCCCCAGCCTCACTCAGGACCCAAATCTGGTAGGCTTGAGCCAACTGCCAGTATTCAGAGAATTTTTAAAGAATCATTAGGACAAATAGCTAATGCATGTGGGTCTTAAAACCTAGATGACGGGTTGATAGGTGCAGCAAACCACCATGGCACACATATCCCCCACGTAACAAACCTACATGTTCTATACTTGCATCCAGGAACTTAAAGTAAAATTTTAAGTAAGAAAAAAAGAATCAGGCTGGGCGAGGTGGCTCACGCCTCTAGTCCCAGCACTTTGGGAGGCCGAGGCAGGCAGATCACGAGATCAGGAATTTCAGACCAACCTGGCCAACACGGTGAAACCCTGTCTCTACTAAAATACAAAAATTAGCCAGGTGTGGTGGCAGGTGCCTGTAATCCCAGTTACTCGGGAGGCTGAGGAAGGACAACTGCTTGAACCCGGGAGGTGGAGGTTGCAGTGAGCCAGATTCGCACCATTGCACTCCAGCGTGAGACTCAACCTTGGAAAAAAAGGGGGTGGAGACGGAATACAAGAGAGTTGCTTCTTGTCTTTCTTGCTCTCTGCCATGTGAGGACACAAGAAGATGGCCCTCTGTGAACCAGGAGGTGGGCCCACCCCAAGAACCAACCATGCTGACACCCTGATCTTGGCCATCAGCCTCCAGAACTGGGAGAAATCAGTGTTTGTTGTTTAAGCCACCCAGTCTGTGGCATTTTGTTAGAGCAGCCCAAACTAAGACCCTGCCCCAATCATAACGATATCCCCCTACATTTCCTTCTAAATGCTTTCAATTTTTCTTTTCTTTTTTTTCTGATACAGAGTCTCACTCTGTCACCCAGGCTGCAGTGCAGTGGCACGATCTTGGCTCAGTGCAAACTCTGCTCCCGGCTTCAAGAGATTCTCTCACCTCACTTTCCCGAGTAGCTGGGACTACAGGTGCACGCCACCGCGCCCGGTGAATTTTTGTATTTTTAGTAGAGGTGAATGTCACATTAAATTTGTCTACTATAAGGTTTATTCAACCAGCAAAATGATGGATTAGTTTAATCCAAAAAGTAAGAGATTGAAGTATGCATTAGATAAACCAGGTTTTAAGTGGTATAAGGTTTGAAATTATGAGAGGCACATTTTATTTAAAGCAGACCTACAAGACGATAGTAAAACCTCATATAGGCTGAAGCTTTCTAAGAGAAGACCCTACATAATTTAAACAAGGTTGGTGAGTTCATTCACAATGTAAGTGCACTAACCCCATTCCTAAAACGGATTCCATAGAATTAGCAAACCATAAAATATGCATTATATATTTTATTTCCTGTTTTTATAGCATGCTAACAGAACAACAGTAACATTGTTGCTGTTGAATGTATCCAATACTGTTCTGCTCCTCTTAGGTAAATATGACAAGAATCAGAGCCTTACATTATAAGAAGACATTTTCCCACCAGTCTAGTTCACAATAGCACACTTTGTTCATTGTGCTCCTGTGGTCATGGAATGTTGACTTGTGTCCTTCAATTCACCCGCACTGTACTCTGAGAATGCAAAATATGTGTATCCTTTCCTTCCAGGACCTGCCAGACATTACAACTGAGTTTAATGATAACCAAAACGCTATCGTATCTTTGCAACTTTATGTCCATACACATAATAATATCACAATATACATATACTTGTTTGGGACTTTGAAGGGGATCCAGTAAACAGTATTACTCTTCCCATCTGGCTCTGAATCAACTGAGAAATAAGACAATGAGTCAGCAGATGGAGGTCAAAATGTCACCTTTATTAATAACAAAGCATGGACTTCCTAATACAGAAGCACAGTCGGACAGACAGATAGACGTATTCCCCATCAGTGGCAGCACTGGCCAACAAGAGGCTTCCCAACAAGGGCGGAGTCTGCCCTGGAAAAGACCACTCACTCCCAAGAGGAAGGGGAGGGGAAAGGGATAGAACACATGTGCTCAGTTTCTCCTTCTAAAATCGCCAACCAGGTAAGCCGCTCCACCTCCCGTGGAGAAGAGAAAGGTCGGGAGTATTATGTTATTACAACTCCCTTGAAAAAGAGGGAAACATCAGGAATATCGAGTTATTTCTCACCTACCACACGCCTAACAGTATCCAGCATTTTATTCTCTTAACTCATGAAGTCTGTGCCTAACCAGGAATATCATAATTAAAACAGCTCTACTTCCAGTCTCATGTTGGGGTTCCCCCAGTACCCATCTGCTCTTTTGAGAGGCTCTCGGAACTGTTGAGCCATTTTGATTTTGCCTGCAGATGGTTCTAAAATGGTTAGACCCAAAGCTGAAAAGTCATTCCCTATTCTTTTCTCCTTGCCAGGCTGTGTTCAGCTACATAGTCCAACATAACTTATCAAAGGTTCCTCAATGAGATTAAATCACATCATTAAGATACAATAACAAAATGGAGAGTCAAATGTTGCTATGTATATGAGCTACTTTGTAAACTACTGTTAAGAAAGATTAGAGACTCTCAACTCTTTTTTTATATATTTATTTTATTTTTTATTTTTTTGAGATGGAGTTTCGCTCTTGTTACCCAGGCTGGAGTGCAATGGCGCGATCTCGGCTCACCGCAACCTCCGCCTCCCGGGTTCAGGCAATTCTCCTGCCTCAGCCTCCTGAGCAGCTGGGATTACAGGCACGTGCCACCGTGCCCAGCTAATTTTTGTATTTTTAGTAGAGACGGGGTTTCACCATGTTGACCAGGATGGTCTCGATCTCTTGACCTCGTGATCCACCCGCCTCGGCCTCCCAAAGTGCTGGGATTACAGGCGTGAGCCACTGCGCCCAGCCTTTTTTTATTATTATACTTTAAGTCCTGTGGTACATGTGCAGAATGTGCAGGTTGGTTACATAAACATGTGCCATGGTGGTTTGCTGCATCCATCAATCCATCATCTACATTAGGTATTTCTCCTCATGCTATTCCTCCCCTAGCCCACCACACCCCAGAAGGCCCCTGTGTGTCATGTTCCCCTCCCTGTGTCCATGTGTTCTCATTGTTCAACTCTCACATATGAGTGAGAACATGTGGTGTTTGGTTTTCTGTTCTTGTATTAGTTTGCCGAGAATTATCATTTCCAGCTTCATCCATGTCCCTGCAAAGGACATGAACTAATGCTTTTTTACGACTGCTTAGTATTCCATGGGACACATTTTTTTTTTTTAATCCAGTCTATCATTGATGGGCATTTGGGTTGGTTCCAAGAATTTGTTATTGCGAACAGTGCCACAATAAACGTACGTGTGTGTGTGTGTGTGTGTGTGTGTGTGTGTGTGTGTGTGTGTCTTTATAGTAGAATGACTTATAATGCTTTGGGTATATACCCAGTAATGGGATTGCTGGGCCAAATGGTATTTCCGGTTCTAGATCCTTGAGGAATCGCCACACTCTCTTCCACAATGGTTGAACTAATTTACTCTCCCACCAACAGTGTAAAGTGTTCCTATTTCTCCACATCCTCTCCGGCATCTGTTGCTTCCTGACTTTTTACTGTTTGCCACTCTAACTGGTGTGAGATGGTATCTCATCGTGGCTTTGATGTGCATTTCTCTAATGACCAGTGATGATGAGCTTTTTTTCATATATTTGTTGCCTGCATAAATGTCTTCTTTTGAAAAGTGTCTGTTCATATCCTTTGCCCACTTTCTGATGGGGTTGTTTTATTCTTGTAAATTTAAGTTCTTTGTAGATTCTGGATAGCCCTTTGTCAGATGGATAGATTGGAAAAATTTTCTCGCATTCGCTCAGGGGTTGCACAACTAGTTAGCATGCCAGAGTCTCATTTATTATCAGAGTTAACCAGAGAAATCACTCCAGCAACCAAGAAGGGCCATGGACCACCACCACCCATGGAATCGAGAAAAAGCTATCCATCTGTCAGTCCTGTCTGAGTCCAGGCCAAGACCCTCAACTCTTTAAATAGGAAACCCAAGGAGTCATGGTTGGCTTTTTATTTTATCTCTGCATTTGTGATAAAAAATAAATAAAAAATAAAAACAAAACATGATCCTCTTCCAGTTTAAGAAAGAAAATTCGTAAGTATACACTGTCTGTCTTTCAGAAAACAGAGATCAGTTTAAATATTACCATGGCCATGAATTAAGACAACCAAAAGTTACATTTTAGAGTTCAAGATTAGTTTTGGAAGACCTAGCAACAATTTCTGAAGTCCATTCTTCAACAATTCTTTGTTAGAAATAATATGTGCAAGGACAAATTTTATGTTACAGAATAACGTGTTTATCTGCAGTTACCGGAGTAAAGGCAGGAGTGTTTTTATTTTCTTGCTGGTATTTCTTCAGCTAAGGGGGCGGGGGGCATGTCATTTTCAAGTCGAGGTGCTAAAACTCAATTCATGAGCACTGAGACAGAATTTTTAAAGCCTGAGAAACTCCAAATATACCATCTGAAAAAGATGGGTCAGAATAAGATTTTTAGCAAATGGTATATGGGGTGTGAGGGAGCCAGAGCTCACCTTTAACCCTCCCTTTAGCTCTTAGTGGGCTCTTTAGCTGGATTTAGAAACCAAATTAACGCTAAGCAGATTAATAAAAGTATACAAATTGTATTAGTTTTACATATACATGAGGATCTTTACAAAACGGTGTTCAAAGCAAGGAGTTTGTATTATGTTAGACAAAGAGCAGTATTTTGAGAAGAAAGGACAAAGAAAACCTGGCCAGGGGCAGTAAAATGTACCAGATATACGGGGAGGTGAAGCAGGTGGAAGGTGGGTTACTTTGTTCAGTATGTTTATTTAGGTTTATTGTAGTCTTTAACTCTCTGATGATAAGGGCTATTTTTTCACCCTGGAATGAAGGAAGTACCCCTCCCAGTGGAATCCTTATGGTTCAATGTAAGAGTTAGGTCAGCTCTGAGAGTACAAGTTTTTCAATGTTTTTAACTCAAAATAAATATTTGGGAGGCTGAGGTGGGCAGATCACGAGGTCAGGAGCTCAAGACCAGCCTGGCCAACATGATGAAACCCGTCTTTCCTAAAGATACAAAAAATTAGCCAGGCGTGGTGGTGTGCACCTGTAATCCCAGCTACTCAGGAGGCTGAGGCGGGAGAATTGCTTGAACCTGGGAGGTAAAGGTTACATACAGTGAGCCGAGATGGCACCATTGGACTCCAGCCTGGGTGACAATAATCAATATACCAGTCTGGCATGTTTGGGGATGGCACATCTTTCACTCCTTCCAGGGGCATGTAAGTTTTCACACCCATACTATAAAGTGCATACATATGAAACCTCTCAACGTCATTTAAGTAGACACTCATCTCTAATAGTACAGATGTGAAATATCTAACGAAGTCATCAAACACACCTTCTCTTCCAGAGTGGCCTCCAGATCAGATGATCCTACCTGGACCAGCTCCTCTTCAAACACTATGAGATGCTTTCTGTTACCTGTTACTTGACTCAGTGACAAACATCGTATCAGCCGAGCAACAGAATGAGGTAGAATGTAATTTCCATGATATTGTCCCATCGATTTAGACAAATGCTTCATTAATTAACCTTTAATGGTAGCTAACAAGGTGCAGTGAACCACAGGCAAGCATTTATCCTCCAGTAGGCCCTAGTAATTCCTCAGGTCCAACCTCAGTTTCTTCTTAGACAAACCCGAGACTGCTCAGGAGTGTAGCTCATGGACTTGATTTGCCCAGAATGTGACCCAAGCCCCAACATGTCCACTGAGCACAGGCTTCCAAGAAACATCTTAGACAGTGCTGTCTGCCCTTCCCTTCCTTTTCTGGGCCTCCAGGAGAGGTTCTAGGTACAAGAAACATATCCCAAAGTAAAGATGATGGGAATGGCCTATCGCCCAGACACTATTTTGACCCAACATCAAATCATACCTAGAGGGAATGTAGAGCTGCAAGGGGTGGCAGTGATAAGGCAGGTACCTGTAAATGCAGACAGAGAGTATGAGAGATGGAGAGACATGCAGAAAACAGGGGGGTTCAATCACCACAAAAGGGAAGCGACCATCACTACAAACGGGAGGCGACCATCACCACAAACGGGAAAAGGAGAGGGAGAATAATAAGGATGGGAAGTAGATTGAAAAATGAAAAAGGACTAATAGAGGGCAGAGTGAGTGTGTGTAGAAAATGGAGTCGGAGAGGAAAAAATGAAAAGGAATGGTTGGCAGAACTGAAAGTTAAGCAGAAATATACTTATCATCTATAAGCATCTGAAGGTGAGGCCGGGCTCGGTGGCTCATATGTATAATCTCAGCACTTTGGGAAGCCAGGGCAGGAGAATAACTTAAAGCCAGAAGTTCAAGACCAGCATGGGCAACATAGTGAGCACCTGTCTGTATAAATTTTTTTTAAGTTTAAAAAAAAAGTATAAGCATCTGAAAGTGGAAGGGATCTGATACATCCTAACCCCAAAAGATGAAAAGTACAAGACAGAGATAATATGAGCATAACAACTTCCTAAAAGTTACAATAGAGAGACAAAAGCATAAGAATTGTAACTGCACATTCTTTGAAAATGGAAAAAGAACAAGATTTATTGCCAGAGACAAAGGGACACTGGAAGTTTCTCTGAAGGTCCATTCTGGAGAGGCTCAATTTATGCCCTGCTTATCTTCCCTTTTTGCACAGGGATGGTTGGATCCTTGCTACCAAGTTGTGTGTAACAGTAAATTCCAACCCCAGAAGGAAAGCTGTCTCCTGTTAGAAATGCACGAATGATCTCCCGCTTGGCCCCCAGCTCCAGCATGCATAGCATGGATGGGCGAGTGGATCTGGGAAGAAGTGGGTAACTGGGAAGTGCTTGATATGGCTGTCTCCAAAAACGTTCAAATCACTGCTAGCTGAGGGACAATCCCGAGGGTTACAATGTTTTTATTTTCCTTGAAACTTCAACCCATTTGTCATTTTAAATTACGTACACAGAGACTGAGCATTTTTTCCTTCTAGAAAAATACCTTTAAATATCTCAGCTGCTTCCTAAATATGATCTTCTAGAAGCTGATAGCCACCATCCCTTTCCCCCACACACTCAGTTCTTCAATTCCTAAAACTTTTCCTCATTTGGCATGCGTACCAGACCCAATCATCTTATTTTTTCACTTCTGAACACATCCTGGTTAGTGGCTAATCCTTCAGTATTGAGGGATCTGGAGCAGGTGCAATACTTCACTTGATGCCTGATCAAACCAGAATAAAGCACATTATAACCAGTACTTTCGTTATGTTTTGATATTATGAGTCTATGTGTGCAGTCTGTGGTGACCCTGGCATTTTCACCACCCTGTAACCCTACCAAATTATTAGAGTTTACTAAGTTCCAAAAGGTTGACCACCACTCATCCATCCTGTTTTATAATTGGGCTTCTGAGACCAAGTGAGTACCTTCTAGTACCCCACAACTATACCCTTATGCTTTCCCATCTTCCCTCCTCAAGCAGGCTCCAGATGCTAAGGAACAGCAGTACAGTGATGGAATTTTAGCAGGCCCCAGATGCTAAGGAACAGCAGTACAGTGACGGAAGTTATCCTCATGGGCTTTCAGCAGAGCTCCACTTCCACACGAGCATTGCTCTTTGCCATCTTCTTGGCCCTCGACAGTCTCGCCATGGCCATGAATACCTTCATCATCATCACCTGGACAGATCCCAAGCTCAACAGCCCCATGCACTTCTTCCTTGGCCATCTGTCTCTCCTGGATATCTGCTTCATCACCACTACCATCCCACAGATGTTGATCCACCTCGTGGTCAGGAACCACACTGCCTCCTTTGTACCCTGCATGACCCGGATGTACTCTGTCTCTGAGTTGGTGTAGCTGAGTGCATCCTCTTGGCTTCTATGGCCATGACCGTTACGTTGCTATCTGCTAGCCACTTAGCTATGTCCAGATTGTAAGCTGGAAGGTCTGTGTCAGGCTCATGGGAACTGCCTGGTTCTTTGGGCTGATCAAAGGCATCTTCCTTCAGTATATGTCATTTTGACAACCCTTCTGCAGAGAAAACCACATAAAAAACTTCTTTTGTGAAGCCCCCAGGGTGATCAGCTGTCTTGTGGGGACTCAGTTTGGTCTGGGTCATCTTTGCCGATGCCATCGTGGTGCTGCTCAGCCCTGTGGTCCTCACTGTCACTTCCTGTGTGTGCATCCTGGCCGCCATCCTCCCATGGTCCACACTGTCACTTCCTGTGTGTGCATCCTGGCCGCCATCCTCCCATGGTCCACACTGTCACTTCCTGTGTGTGCATCCTGGCCACCATCCTCAGCAGAGCCCCCTGCTCAGGTTGGGTGAAGACTTTCTCTACTTGTGCCTCTCACCTGACTGTGGTCATCTTTCTCTACACCTCAGCTATATTCTCTGACATGAACCCCGCAGCACACATAGGCCTGGTAAAGACAAGCCTTTCTCCCTCCTGTACACCATCGTCACCCTCATGTGCAATCCCATCATTTACAGTTTCCACAAGGAAATGAAGGAGGCCATGGGGAGGGCACTTGGGAGAACCAGGCTGGCCCAGGCACAGTCTGTCTAGCAGGAAGGCCCTGAAAGGACAGCTCCTTTACCTGGGGCATGGAAAAGTTACCCCTTCCGCAGCCCTGGCAGATGAATAACTCTCAATGCTGAAAGGCGCCAGGAAAGAGCATTCATGGCTTCCTTGGCACTAGAATCAGAATAGAAATTTCCTCCCGATGTCTAACATCCTAATGTCTAGTATCCTGGTGTCATCTCTCTGACTTCACTTCCAGCCTTGTTTTTTCTGGGACCTTCCTCAGGAGAATTTCAGATTTTCCTTAGTATCTTTTCCTAAGTTCTCACAACAGGATTCAATAAGTGCACGTCACTCCGTTTTATTTGTATGTACCTTTACATTCTATTCCCCCAGCCTGAGTTTCATACAAATATTTAGGAGTAAACTTTTTTTTAACTTTTCATTTTACTCTGTTTTTCTTTTTCAAATTCCACTCTCATTTCCTGGGTCTATCCTCATCTATCCAATTCCTATGAAAAGTAGAAGAAGAAAAAAAAAAAAGCCCCCATGACTATAATTTCAGCACTTTGGGAGGCCAAGGAGGGAGTCTGAGACCTGCCTGGGCAACATAAGGAGACCCATCTCTACAAAAGATTTTAAAAATTAACTGGGCGTGGTGGCACATACCAATAGTCCCAGCTACTGAGGAGGCTGAGGTGGGAGGTTTGCTTAACCTGGGAGGTCAAGACTGCATGAGCACTGCTGCACTCCAGCCTAAGCAACACAGCAAGGCCCTGTCTCATAAAAATAAAGCTGCAGTGGCGGGGGGCGGGTGGAGGGAGGGAGGGATCAAACAAACTAGGGACCAGCACTGACATAAGAAAACTCAGTTAGAGAAAAGAAAAAAAATGAACAATAGCCTGAATTTCATCTTCTTAGCTTCTACCAGTGATGGGGGGAGAATTTGTGGTGATACTAAATGTCAACAGTGCACTCAGTTTGTCTGTGCTGTGTGTTATTGGGGAGGGTTGGGTGACAGAGGCCAGAGTGCCAAACTCCTTTTCCTAAATCCCCTAGCTTCCTTTAGCAACGAGATCACCTGCCTGATAGTTCCCTTCCCGTGCAAGTGGAGCGCCTGTTCCGAGCTTCTCAGGCTACCAATTTCCTTCCATTATCCATGCCCCAAATTAACTCCCCTCTCCCTCTACTGCCTTCTTTTTTCTCTTCCATCTTTCATTTTACTCTATCTCAATCCTTCTCTACCTAACTCCTCATCTTAAACGGATCCCTGTATTTTAAGAAACCCTTCTCCGTACTACCTCCACCACTGCGGAAGTCTTTCCATTTGTAACCCTGTCCTCTGTGGCTTCCTCTAGCTTCTCACTTTAATCAAACCTGGCTTTCTTTGAGAAGGTACTACATTCTCAGCAGTTCTCTTTCTTTGAAAACTGCATTTTTCTCATACCCCTTCATAATAAACAAGGGGGTAGGCCTGTTTTTTATTTCCCCATGCACTTCCATAATATGAATGGACTGCCCTTTCCACTCCTGCACATCACACACTACCCTTTGCAATGATGACTTTGAAATAGAAGCTTCTGGAGGGGCACAGTGGCTCACGCTTGTAATTCCAGGGCTGTGAGAGGCCAAGGCGGGTGAAATTTCTTGAGGCCAGGAGTTTAAGACTAGCCTGGTCAACAGAGTGAAGCCCCATCTCTACTAAAAATACAAAAATTAGCTGGGCATGGTGGCCCATGCTTGTAATCCCAGCTATTTGAGAGGCCGAGGCAGGAGGATCACTTGAACCTGGGAGGTGAGGGCTGGAGGGAGCTGAGATCGTGACACTGCACTCCAGCCTGGGTTAGAGTGAGACTTCATCTCAAAACAAAACAAAACAAAAACAGTAGCTTCACTCCACAAAACTCCAATCTTTGGAGTCCAAATGGATTGATTTCTCCAGAAATCAGAGAATGTGAGATAGGAGAACCCACTATAATTGAGAAGAAACAAAAAATGCAGAACCTAAAATTTCCATTGTCAAAATTTGCATCAAAGTTAAACAGGCAAGGAAGATTTTAAGACAATTACAATAGGAGATTAAACTCAACTCTACCGAAACTATTGTTTCCTCTTGGGGAGTTTTTAAGAGCTGCTGTAGGGGAAATCACATGACATTTGTGTTTGCTAATTGCAAAGGAAAAAGAAACTTTCTTTTATCTTCAAAACAAGCTGTAGTTTTACAATTCTGAACAAGGCACCCACAGGAGGTTAGGCTCCTACCCTCCCACAGAGACTGAGAGATAAGGGTGCTATCTTCCTTGATGATTACATTTCAAAGGGATGGCTCCCAGGTCCTTGAGAAAGACATTCTTGGGTCGTAAAACTGGCAGGAAGCGTCTAAGGAGATTTACATACGTTTCAAAGGAGCAGAGAATTTGCAATCACAAGTTTTTCTAAAGTAAACACTGGAAGAAAGAGGAGGTGAAGGGCCTAACGTCCAAAAGAAACCTGTCTGAAGCTGTCAGGCTGAGGTGAGTGTTAAGGCTCTTTTGGTTACCATGGAGAACAAGAACAAAGTGAGTACCTATCTTTCCCCCTAGGGTCTCAGCTTCTTCTCCAAGTTTGAAATTTCCTACCTCAAAGAGGAAAAAGGGAAGGAAAGGAAGAAAGGGAAAGGAGAAGAAAGACCGCTTTTTAAAAAGTTTTCTAGGAAATCATTTCTTAGCTTTACATTTGCCCCGCACTGCTAGACGCTGAGATTACAAACAAGACGCAGCGTTTCAGAACCTCAGTCTAGCAGGGCGAAGAACCAATCACGGTAAGAGAAAGGGCAAGCGTTATAGAAGGCCTACAGAAGTACTTTGGGGGCACATGTAACAGCAGCTCACACTCACTAACCGCTTACACTGTAAGAGCTTTCCATTTAATCCTCGCGGAACCTTATGAAGTGCTAGTATTATCTCAATGTTAAGATGCAAAAACGGAGACTCACAGAGGTCAAATAGTCAAACTCCACAGCATTGACAATGGCATAGAGGCCTGCGCCTATCATCCCATATACTCGGGAGGCTGAGACGGGAGGACTGCTTGACTCCAGCCTGCGGTAAGCTATGATCCCCCCACTGCACTCTAGCCTGGGCGACAGAACCAGACCTCATCTCTTAAAAAAAAAAAAAAAATTAAAGAAATAAGAAAGAAAAGTAATAAATGGCATAGCACCTGTTCCAGAGCCCGCACTCCTAAGGAGGTCCAGAACGGGGCAGGCTTTATTCCGAGCAGGGAATGTTGGCTGAGCCGTTAAAAATGCGCAGGAGTTGTACGGAGGAAAATTGGGGTGGAGGTTCGATACCAGGGGCGAGTGAAAGTCCAGGCGAGAGGAATCGCCTGCTTCGTCGCAGAACTGGTGCTGTCCACGTGGATGGCGGGTGAGCTGGGCCCGGAATGCTGGAAACGCCGAATGACCTAGAACTGCGCTTTCAAGGGCGAGCACCGTCTCATTCAAGGCCCTGGGCTCCCAGCGGGCCCGGGGCCGGGCGGGACGGACACGAACGGAGCTCGCACGGGAAGCCACGGTCCTGGCCGCGTCTCCGGCCCCGGTCCCTGGTCTCTGGAGGGCACAAACTGCCCCCACACTCTGCGAAAACTCCTGAAAATGTAATAACCAGAACCCACCCTGAAGCCGCACGGCACTTTCCGGTCCCCTTTCACGTCCCAGTGCAAAGCCACTTGTCGCCGGTGGGCATGCGACCAAGCTCTGGGGTCACCAAGGCTCAGCCCAAAGGCCGAAAATGTAGGAAGGGAACCCAGGAATGGCCGTCCGCAAGGCTTGGCTGGGCCTTGGGCTCCCTCACACCAAAAGCCGAAGCGGACGCCATGTTTCCAGGGCCGGCTACGCGACCCACGCCCCGACTACCCAACCCACGCCCCGACTACCCAAGAGGCTGTGGGGGCCCCTGACCTAATTAGAACCTGGAGAGGAGATAGGCGTGGCCCGCGCTGACAGCCTGTGACCAATCAGCCTTCCTCGGCCTCCCGGACCGGGGCGGTGGCAGCCAATGAGCGCCTTCTCCTTGGCCGCCACGCCCGCGCGGTATTGCGGTAACCTGACAACCTCTGGGGAACACGATCTATTCTGGGGCACCAGTGCGGCTGCTCAGTCCATCCAGCGGGAGATGAGGACCTTGAGGCAGAGGATCCCCTCCTGGCCGAGTGGCGTGGCTGAGATGCTGCGCCCCATTGGCGCAGGATGGGATGGGAGCGAAGCAGGGCTTGACGCAGACCTGAGCAGAGGACTCTGCCAATGACATCCCGCCTCCGCAGCTCCCAGCCTTGACCACGGATCCGGGGCCTCGTTCTTTCGCAGTGATAACCCCCACTTACAGCGCATTGTCTAAGTGTTGAGTCCTCTTCCCGCCATTGAACAAGTGTCCTTTGAGCTGCCTTACCTCCCCTTTCCAGGTACTCCCGTAAACCCTACCCCTTTCTGGATTTACTCGACTTTCTTTGATTTCCCTTAATAATCTGTGCGTTTTTCTGTCACTGTACTCCCTTATTGTTTTACAGTGTATTTACTTTTCTTTTTTCTTTCTTTCTTTTCTTTTTTTTTTTGAGATGGAGTTTCGCTCTTGTTACCCAGGCTGGAGTGCAATGGCGCGACCTCCGCTCACCGCAACCTCCGCCTCCTGGGTTCAGGCAATTATCCCGCCTCAGCCTCCCGAGTATCTGGGATTACAGGCATATGCCACCATGCCCAGCTAATTTTTTGCATTTTTAGTAGAGACGGGGTTTCACCATGTTGACCAGGATGGTCTCGATGTCTTGACCTCGTGATCCACCCGCCTCGGCCTCCCAAAGTGCTGGGATTACAGTATTTACTTTTCTATCTTCTCCACTCGTCTGTGATTTATTTTGTAATTCTTCGCACAGTATCTGGCCAGAGGAGATGCTGTAGTGCTGTTTCCTCAATGAACTCTTAGGCAGGATCCTGATGTCTTAACCAAATAAAAACAAAGCTGTTCTGATAGGAGTGGGGGGAATGTCCGCAGCCCTGAACCCTCAGGGAAGCCCCTGAGGCACCTATCATTAGTTAGTGACCTCCTCTGAAATCTTGTTTAACATATAGAAATACGGTTTATCTAGGAGATGAGAAATATATTTAGAGCATCTGGGAGCACTTGGTTTGCTTCAGCCTTGAAGACCCAGCTGCATTCTTACTCTTGGGGTCTGTGAAATAACCTTACACCCATAGAACAAATGCCTTTTGTTGTTGTCTGGCTTAAAGCTGGCAGAAATGGACCGGTTTCTTAAACCGAAGATTCATAGCTGAAGAGTCTTAACTAGGACAACTCTGCCTCAGTGTGGGTACCAGGATTACATAACAAAGTATTTCAAGCGCTTCAATTAGCACCTCCAGAGATGTTTCTCTCCTCTTCTAACTGTTAACTGTGTCCATGTGCCGGAGCATCAGACTTACCTGTTTTTTGTACATGTTCAAAATAACAAGCCCATTTTGTGTTCAGTTTTCTTTTTTGCAAGTTTTTTCTCATTCCAGTTTCATCTTTTCAGGTGTTATAATTTATGGATTTTTTGTTTTGTTTTGTTTTGCTATGTTTTGAAGTTTTGTTTGTTCCTGAAAGGATTGAATTAGTCATACTCCTCAGTTCGTGGCACACTATCATCGGACCCTGACAGAAAGGCCCTCTCGTTTCATTTATTTATTATTTCTTTATAACCTTCAAATCCCATTTTATCCCTACAATAAGCAATTTTCTAATTTGTTTAATGTGCATATTTCCATTTATGTGTTTTCTAAACATAGTTATTATTTTGTGGGCATGGATTTTTAAGTGTACTCCAAAGCTACTGAGATATTTGTCTTATTACATACATATTTTTTAACCTAAGCACTATTTTTTAGCTCCATCCACATTGCCAGGTGTTAATATTTAATCTATTACTTCACATTGATGCCTAAAGGTCCGTGGTATGCATCTGTCCACTCTTCCACTGAGGAGCTCCCATGCTGCTTCCAATGCTATACTACTTCAAATAACCCTGAATTGAACATCCTTGCATTGGACCCCTTGTGAACTTGTAAGAATTTGTTTTATGTTACTTAGGGGAGAAATGGCTGCTGGGCTGCTGGATATGAATCTGTTTAATGTGTCCAAGTAATGCCATATCGCTTCCCAAAAGTGGTCAGACCAGTCTTGCAACAGTGCAAGATTCTGTATTTCCACATCTAACAACACTTGCAATTTTTTTTTTTTTGAGACAGAGTCTCACTCTGTTGCCCAGGCTGGGGTGCAGTGGCATGGTTATGGCTCACTGCAGTCTCCTGGGCTCAAGTGATCCTCCTGCTTCAGGCTCCTGAGTAGATGGGACTATAGGTGCATGCCACCATGCCCGGCTAATTTTTTAATTTTTTGTAGAGGTGGGATCTCACTATGTTGCCTAGGCCAGTCTCAAACTCCTGGGGTCAAGCAGTTCTCCCGCTTTGGCCTCCCGAAGTACTGGGATTACAGGCATGAGCCACTGCACCCAGCCAACACTTGCAATTTTCTAGATTTCTATTCACTGGTTTGATAGGAATAAAGTGATATCTCATCATTAGTTTAATTTGCATTTGATTACTAATGTTTGTATCAAATTTCCATATACTCATTAGCTTTCTCCTCGGCAATTAATTGCCTATTCGTATTTTTTGCTCCTTTTTTTTTTTTTTTTTTTTTGACAGAGTCTTGCTTTTGTTGCCCAGGCTGGAGTGCAATGGCACAATCTTGGCTCACTGCAACCTCCACCTCCAGGGTTCAGGCAATTCTCCTGCCTCAGCCTTCTGGGTAGCTGAGATAATATGCGCCCACCACCATGCCTGGCTAATTTTCTATTTTTAGTAGAGATGGGGTTTCTCCATGTTGGTCAGGTTGGTCTTGGACTCCCAACCTCAGGTGATCCGCCTGCCTCGGCCTCCCAAAGTGCTGGGATTACAGGAGTGAGTCACCGTGCCCAGCCTCCTTTTTTTTTTTTTTTTTTTTAATTGAGCTGCTTTTTCCTATTCATTTGCAGGAGTTCCTCGTATATTTAGGGTGATATTATACCCTTGTCAGTTTTAGAGAAAGCAAATATCTTCTCCATTCTGCCATCCGCCTGTTAACTTTGTTAATAATCCCCTTTATGGAACAGAAATCTTTAATTTTTTAATAATGAAACTCCCCAGTTTTTGCTTTATGGCTTCGCTTTTAAAAGGTTGAAATATGGGTACCACTTTCTCAGTTGCGCTGTCTGCCAGCTGTCTCTGAATCTGAAATCACTGGCAAGGTCTCTAGGCATTCCGTTCACTCCTCTTCAGTGAACTCCAAAGAAACTCTTCTGACTGAATTTAATCTTCTTTGAACGTTTCCCCCCACACTGTCTCAAGCTATGAAAATCATAGCCTTGATCTGAAGTCAAGTTTTTCATAACCCTAGACACATATTTCACGTTATGTTGCTGGCTACCAGAAACTCAGTAATATGGTTACTTCCCCTCAAAGATTTTTCACTTCTGTTTCACTAATCAGTTCCATCTTTATGGGTCAGAATTAGAGATCCAGAATAGCAATCTGTACTGTGTCACCTCTTCCTTCTGAGGAATGAAATTTACATTAAACAACATATCCTCGGATTCTGGAACTTGGTTTTGTGCCGGTTTCATTATTTGCTCCTGGGATCTATAATCCAGTGTGTGTATCTGTTTTGTTAGCCTTTGGCACATTTTGAAAAGGACATGATGACCGGGGGCGGTGTCTCAAGCCTGTAATCCCAGCACTTTGGGAGGCCGAGGCGGGTGGATCACAAGGTCAAGACATCGAGACCATCCTGATCAACACGGTGAAACCCCGTCTCTACTAAAAATACAAAAATTAGCTGGGCATGGTGGCACGTGCCTGTAATCCCAGCTACTCAGGAGGCTGAGGCAGGAGAATTGCCTGAATCCAGGAGGCGGAGGTTGCAGTGAGCCGAGATCGCACCATTGTGCTCCAGCCTGGGTAACAAGAGCGAAACTCCGTCTCAAAAAAAAGACATGATTTTTTTCCTCTCCTTTATCTTTACTAGACGATTCCTTTCTTGTTTCCATGCTCAGGAACCTAAAAGGCCCAGACAAGGGCTACTCTGACTTTCCTTCTATCATTTTCTTTGGTTTTATTTCATTCCTTATACTTATTTTCTTTTGTCTCTTTCCTTCCTTCATCCCTTATCAGCCCCTTTTCTTCCCTCTTTCCTTCCTGAATTTTACAAATGCCAAAAACAAAAACTAACTTCTGTAGATTACAGCAAAGAAGCTGCTTCTAGCCCAGAAGCAGGTTTCCCGTAAATACATGGTGTGTGACCCATAACCAGCAACCCTTTTCCAGCTGCACGTCAGAACTTAGTTCGGTTTCTATGGAACAATGTATGTACCTTTTTTCACTGCCAGGTTCTAGGTGTGAATCCCATCCTGCCGTGTTTATGAGACTTTATTTTTCTCGTTGTATAAACTCTAAAATTCTATTTTTACATTACCTGTATTTCGTGCATTGGTGTGGGGGCCATGCGTAGGTTTTTTATTTTGTCTTGCCAACTCCACTGTACTTACTTTTTCCAGAAAATTACTAGAATGCTGCCTCTGCTACTACTTTTCTTCCAGTGTCATACTTGATGTCCTCTGTAGCATAAAATGTTATGGCTTTTCTGGGCATTTTTTTTTAACTTCCTTTTTAAAAAAAAAAAGCTTTTATTTTTACAAGCCCACGACTCCACATCACACATTTTTTTAACTTTCTTCTCCATGTACCTTGTCCCACCTGCATACACACTTGCCCCTCCCCACCACACGCCATTCCCATGAAAATGGAAGTGGACGATGCTCATAGAGAACAGATTTTCCCTTTGATCTTCCGAGAAGCACTCCGTCCTGATTCAAGAACACTCCATCCCAATTCAATTATTCCCTCATAATTAGACTGCGAGCTCCTTAAGGGCAAGGACCCTTCCTGGAGTCTGCTGCAGTGCCTGCGGCCTTTGATGACACATAGCAGGCAGTTGGTAAACACTTGCCGACAGAGTCGCTCAGTCTTGGTTCTCTTTTTGGATGTATTTTTCCATCATGCTGCGAAGACTTGTTCACCTGCTATAAAAAATGTTTTGACTTTTTATTCTCGAAGCTGGATTCAAATTATGTGAAGCTTTCCTTAGCATATTGTAACCATTTATAGCACATTAAGGTGTAGTACCATTTAATGAGAAAAATATTGTTCTATAGTACAGGTGAACAGGCTTCTGTTCCTAACAGTCATCAACTGTGTGACCGTGGGCACATCACCCATTTCCTTAGTTATGTACAACGACATAATTAATATTTGCTCACCAACAATTCTCTTAGAAGGAGGCTGTACCTGTTAATGAAGTACTTGGGGTAAAAATAAGATAAATTTCCCCCACCCAGGGAGGCTACATGTGAAATAAACTATTTTTATCAAAATAGGAGCGTGTGCTTGTAATGCTGAGCAAGATGGCAGGAGCAGAAAGAAAGGAAGGAAGGATTGAGTGGAAGAGCCTGTGAAAGGCATGAACTTCTTCATGGGACTTTCCCGGTGATCCCTTCCTCACCCACCCCCATTTTCCTATTTAATCTGCAGTAAAATATTTTAAATGACAGCAGGATTACACAATAGTTCTTCTTGAAACCAATGAAATGACTGATTTGTGAGTCCTAGAGTTGATAAGGAATCAAACCGAGGCAGCCTGCATGGACTCAGGGGTGTGGATGCAACGGATTGGGAATGGGCTGATTCCCTCTTTTTAGAATCCAGGATCTAGTATAAAAATGGGACTCTTAATTTCTGGAAACCTGTTTTGCCTTCCAGCTGTGTCTGCTATTTAAGCCATAAAAACTGCTTGCTTTAAAGAGCTAAAGTTTCTTTCACCAATAACATTTTATAAGATTTTATTTGTTTTAACATGGAGTCGTGTTCTGTCACCCAAGCTGGAATGCAGTGGTGCAGTCTTGGATCACTGCAGCCTCTGCCTCCCAGGTTCAAGCGATTCTCCTGTCTCAGCCTCCCAAGATGCTGGGACTACAGGCGCGCACCACCACGTCCAGCTAATTTTTGCATTTTTAGTGGAGATGGGGTTTCACCATGTTGGCCAGGATGGTCTCGAACTCTTGACCTTGTGATTTGCCCATGGCCTCCCAAAGTGTGGGATTACAGCCGTGAGCCACCGCGCCCAGCCAACATTTTCTAACATTTATATGATTATAACGTGTGTTTTCTTAATTCCTGGCTCCAAAATCTTGTCATTGTTTAGATTTTATATACTTAAGATTCAATTCCATACATTTTCTGCCAATTATAAGAAAAGTCCCTTACTACTAATTCCAGACAGACTTCCCCCCACCCCACATGGTAACATCTCTGAAATGGAATGTGTCTGTAATTGGTGGCAGCTTTCAACTGCTGTTGGCCACACAGCAGTCACAACACAGTCGCCTTTGCCTACACATGCCTGACCCTAGTTGTGAGTCTAAGTGGCATGACTGCAAATCCATAATCCCTTGATGTTTAGGTTAATCAGCCATTTAAGGATCATTTGAAGGAACGTTCGTCCTAGTTGTTGTCTGAACACCTTCCCTGAACATGTTCTAGCAAGATCAGAAAATGTGCCGGCATTAAAACTTGCACACTAGGTTTTGTAGCCTGGAATAAACTCCCATAGACAATAGAGGACTTTTTTTTTCTTTATAAGAAATGCCGCTTCACTAATATTCAAAATGGCCCAGAGAATAGAAGTGCATGGGAGAATACAGACATCAACAGTGTGCCAGCATTAGGTGCGTGAGCACCGTCTGGCCTCAGTTCCCTCTCTGTCAGTCATTCTTCCCAAGGGCAGATGATCTGGGCTTCTGACCTGGTGGGATGGTGTCTGGAAGAGGTAGGTGGGAAATGAAACACCTAGGTTAAAACAATACCCCGGGGTCTAATTCGGGAGGACCGTGGCTCCCCATGCCCACTGGCTTTAAACCTTGCTTAGGAAGTGCTGGGGACACACAGATTTCTGAGAAGAATGAATGTTCAGAACTCTGGTTTAGGAAGATGAACCTTCGGCTGAAAGGGATATGAGCAAGGCCGGGGAGACTTGTCAGGAGTTTATTGCAGCTGTTTTTTTACCTTCTTCAAATACATCCTCTTTACTTACCTTCCCTTCTCTCCTGGCCACCCACCGTTTGGCAGAGAACCAGGCCCTTAGGCATGTATTTGATGGTGCTCGCTGAAGTCAAAGCCATAATTCCCTTTGAAGCTCTCCTTGTAATGTCCCTATTCCCCCGACAGGTGGCACCATTACAGCATTATTTACAGAGCAGGGCTCTTTCCCTAAGCACAGTGCTTCCAAGCAGAAGAGAATTCACTTTCTGGAGACAGTCTAAATGTGAGGGGGAAATGGTAGCTCGAACTGTCCTTTTTTCTTGTCTTTTATTCAGAAACATTTCTTACTGTAGCAAGGTATCCCGGCTGAAGTTCTTCTTCAAAGCATATAAATGAGGAAGATACTTCTGAAAACCTGCCTTTTCAAAAATACAAGCAATTTTATGTCTTGCAAGAAGTATACCCCTAAATATATTTGGGAAAGGACTATTCCTTCGTTCTGGGAAAACTTCTAGTGAGCCATTTGATCGTACATATCAAGCAGAGACTCTCATTTATGGTGATCCTGAGTCATGTAAAACTGCGTGTTCATGTTGGAGGCTGGTTTACATCTCTTAGGGAAATAACATTTTCTCTAAGAGCAGATTTTAGCCATACCAGGATAAAACTGTACCTATTTCTATGAAGCTACACGTGTCTTCATCTTGAGAGTAGGAGCTAACCCCTGAGAAAGGCCCCCTTAAGCCAGTGTGAGAATTTGAATGTGTTGAATCGATGGTGAGTAATCAGATTTATGTGAAAATTTCAATCCAGCGTGGAAAACTCTGGAGTCCCATACCAGGTTCAGGAAAAGTCATTTCCCCTTGGGTATTTCTCAAGTTAAAAAGTCTCATTACTCTTTATCTCAGTGATTCTTACCTTTTTTTTACTTAATCCTTATTTTTTTACTTTTTAGATGGAGTCTTGCTCTGTTGCCCACGCTGGAGTGTAGTGACACAATCTCCACTCATTGCAACATCTGCCTCCTGGGTTCAAGCAATTCTCCTGTCTCAGCCTCTTGAGTAGCTAGAATTACAGGTGCCTGCCACTTTGCCTGGTTAATTTTTGTATTTTTAGTAGAGATGGGGTTTCACCACGTTAGACAAGCTGGTCTCGAACTCCTAACCTCAGGTGATCTGCCCACCTCAGCCTCCCGAAGTGCTGGGAATACAGGTGTGAGCCTACGACGCCCAGCCTAATTCTTAGTTTTTAAGAATAAAGTTGAAACAATGGACCTTTCTCTAGAGAATGTACATACTTAAGTGACTTTGCATTCAATTTCAAGGGGTTGTGGCCTCTGAAGTTTAATTGTGACCCTTACCAATGAGTCCCTGCTGAGGAGTCCCAGCTGAAACCCACTCACTAGAGAAGAGAAGAGGCCAGGAGGCACTTCAAAGGAGACACGCAAGAGGAGAGCAGGGAATAGGGAGGGACAGGGACCTCCTACCTGTGCTGGATCCTCGTGAGACGCTGGGTGCCCGGTGACTGAATAAGGTTGAAGAATTGCTTTTTCTGGAGAGATTTTTATCTATCTGGGACTTGAGGGGCAATGGCTAAAGAACTTCAAAGAGGCCCTAAGGGACTGAGGACAGTGGGCATAACAAGGGGAACTGGAGTAGAGTCAAAGGTTAGAAGACTCTGCCAGAACTTTCTGCAGAGGCTAAAGAGCTAAACTGCCCTTGGCTTTTTTTGAGACATGGTCTCACTCTGTTGCCCAGGCTGGAGTGCAGTGACACAATCATGGCTCACTGCAACCTCAATCTCCTGGGCTCAAGTGATCCTCCTACCTCAGCCTCCCAAGTAGCTGGGATGATAGGTGTGAGCCATCGCATCCACTCTAAGCTGCCCCTGGGATTGATGTCAAACTCTGGAGAATCTGAGATACAGGGAACCGGAAAGAGGCACAAGAATGGAGCTGTGTGAGAGAACAGCTGTGGACATCGGCTTCTTCCTCTGAAGGAACAGGTCCAGGAGGCCACCTTCTTGGTGCTGTTAGTATATTAGCACCCACTGGACTCTGGGAAGGGTCACTAACAAAAATCTGAACTGCAATTTCTACTTCCAACTAAGAAGATGAAGAGCAACCCTAACTAAGGTTATTTCCTTGTCAGGATTCGTCTAGGTTCTCGATTGGATGTATAAGGGATCGCCCTCTCTGAAGATCCGAATAAGAAAGCAGTTAGCAAAGTGGTCTCCATCTAGGGCTCTTTCAGTCAGACAGACCCGGGTTCAAGTCCTGACTCTGCCAAGTACTAGCCTGTGACCCTGAGCATCTTAGAGTCCGTTTCTGAACTGTTACAGAAATATGAAATATTTCATAATACAGAAATATTATGAAATAATAGGGCTATTTCATAGGGCTGCTGGGAGATAAAATTGGGTACAGTGTCTGGCACATAGCTGATGCTCCGTAAATGATAGCTGTCATTGTTTTTCTTAGGAACTATAAGAGGAACCTGTCTTCCAGTCCTCAGGGACACTTTCCCGCTTAGATCCTTCAGCAGCTCCCTCTAGGGTCTCCAGCACACACTCCCTAGTCACTACATAACTCAAGATTCCTCTGGTCAGCCTATGCGTACAGGACCGACTGTCCCCCAAGACCTTTTTGGCCCGTAGTTACATGACATTCATGATGACCATTTCATTTATGATGAAAAGGTCATGCCAGCTTAGGAATCTCACCATTCCCCTTTCCTTGGTTCCATCCAATTCTAAAGAATTAGAATTCTGTAGATAGAATCAGGTAAGTAAAATTAGATGGAATGCCTAATATCTAATTCTAAAGACGGATAAGGCTTCTTTAGATGGGAAAAGGTTATATAAAAAGAAATTTTCTAGAACCTTCCCTGGGTAGCTTTGTTTTCCCAGAGGAGCCAGTCACCCCCACCCTCCTAGTCCAATAAAACTATAAGGAAACTATTTGCGCAAAACCTCTTAGGAGTCATATATTTTTCTCCCCAACAACTTCTTGTCCCCATTTTACATATTCAGAAACTAAGCCTCAATCAATTCAGTGTTGGAACTGAGATTCAAGTCCAGATCTGTGTCTTTAGTGCTCTCTCTTTCCACCACTCCGCAGCTACCAGCAGCAAGAACACACACACACACTCACACACACACAGAGCACCCCAGCTCATTCTCAAATTCGGTTCAGGGGCAGCCTCAGGAAATCTCCATTGCCCAAGGGAGTAGACTAGAGCTGTCAGTCAAGCTCTCTGGGGAACTCCTTACCCGGGTTCTCCGCTAGAGGCCTGAGGCAGTTACTGTGGTTTCCCTTTGTGATGTGTCACTGTTTCCAGAGATCCCAGGCAATCCCTCCAGAACAATACCCCCACCCCACTCCTTCCACGGAGCAGGTGCAGTACCTGGCATTCCAGGACCCAGATTCGGAAATCATTCTCCCAGAGGCCAGATGCTTCACTGAAAAGATATCACCTGCCCATTTGGAGTTCTGGATACTAAAAACCCATGTTAGCATGGGAATCTCAACACTTACCACCTCCTTCCCCAGGGCAGCTTGAGGTCAAGGTCCAGGACAGAAAGGAAAGCAGGTAGGGTTGGCAATGCCTGTCCCAACCAGAGCAGACAGTCAACTCCTTCAATTGGAGGCAAAGAGAGAGGAGGGAAGGCATGGTCCCTGCAGTTCCCACTAAGCCCCACCCTGATATTCCCCTAGTACTAGTCAGCAAGAAGGGGAGATGACGCCTTTTTTATTAAGATTAATACCAAGGAAAGCATTGAGAAGGAATACACAAAGGAGGGGAGGGCACACAGTCACCACTTGAGGAGATGGGAGGGTCGCACATCAGTAAAGGAACCTCAGGACAGCCACATGCACCATGCCCTGGTTGGGGGAAGAGGGAGGGGAAAGCGCCATGATAGCTTGGAGCTCACAGAAGGGTCTGAAGCCCCCTGAACCTAACACCAGAGCCACAAGCCCTGCCCCTCAGGGCTCACACACTACTACACAAGTGGACACACAGAACACACACAAGACATTATGGAGGCAACACCGAGAGGCAGCGGGCGGGGACATATTGACAGAAAAAGGAACTGAAGTTAAGCAGATGTAGCCAGGAGAGACAGTTTATGGCTGCGGCCCCAAGAGTCCCTCAAACGTCCCCTAAATCTGGGCTGCTGCTGAGCACCCCTGAGTCTCTGCCTGTGAACCGGGCTCTTTGTTCTCTCTGCCCCAGTGAGTGGAAAAGCTACCCCAGATGAAGTCAGTGACAAGGCAGGATCCGCTCTGCATGCAGAATCCTAGAGGTTGAGCTATTATGTCTTCATGCACATTCACAGCCAGCTCCTCCCAGCCCAGGGGCCCTTGGAACCCCATTCACCAGGATTCCCAGGGCTGCGGTTCCCTCCTCAGGCTTCCTTTACCAATCAGCAGCCGCAGAGGTCCGTGAAGGGGAGAGGCTTCTGCAGAGCACTGAATATCTTGGATTTCGGCAGAAGGGTAAATTTCCTGTTGCCAGAACAGAATACCCCCAAGTCCTTAATTTCTAGGTAAATCGTTAGAGATTATTTGCCGTGGTCCTAGATAAGTCCTTTTTCAGAATAGAAAAAGCAGAAATTTATTTACACAATTCAGGGGTCGTCCTGTTGTCTGGGGAGGGGGAAAGGACAGGACAGGGGACGGATGGGAGTCCAGAGGTGGGCGCGTCCTCTCCCGGAACCTCACCTTTCCGCAGTTTGCTGTAATCTGCTTAGCTGGGCAGAAAGAATTATTCATGCTCCCCAAGTCCTTCGCCCTACAAATCCTTCCTCGAGGGAGCCTCTCTCTGCCTGACCCACAAGAGCAGCTGTCCAAGCGAAGCGTGCCGCACCGCGCCGTTCGGTCCCCAAGGCCAGCCCGGGAAGGTGGTGCCCCGCGGAGTCCCCTCACAGGGACGCCTCGCCCTCCAGTTGCAGCAGGGTAATGTCGGGCAGGTCGAGGGGCTCCACGAGTGGCCCGTCCCCCTCAAGGAGACCAGCACAGGGGCTCTCGGGGCGCTCACAGTGACTGGTGGGTGTGGCGGGACTGGGCATCTCCTTCTCTTCTTCGTCGTCCTCCTCGTCCTCGGGGTCGCCGCCCAGCAAGCCGCTGTCCCCGATCCCCGGCGACGGAGTGCCCGGCTCTCGGGGGTCGCTCCGGAAGCTCCCGCTGCCGCCGACCACGCCCAGGCCGCCCTGGCGGGGCGCCGTGGTCATGATCTGGCACATGGAGACGATGGCTCGCTGGTTGGCGCACACGTCGTCCGAGAGCACCTGGATGTGCGAGGCCTGCTCGTCCAGGGCGCCCCTCATGGCCCTCACGTCCTCAAACAGGGCCTGCAGCTGGGCTTTCAGGTGCTCCATCAGCTCCTTCATGCCGCCGTTGTACTCCCCGGAGATCACGTCCCCCACGGCCGGCACGGCGGACACCTCCAGGGGCGCTGGCATGTCGCCGCCGTCCTTGGTCCTGATCTCCAGCAGACCGTCCTCCATGGAGTGGCAGAAGCGGTGGCGGCGGCTCCGGGTCGCGTCCTGCCCGGCCTCGGGGTGGGGGTGGGGGGGGAGAGGTCCCGGGAGGGGCGGGGAGGAGCCGAGGGAAGCGGAGGCCCCCGAGACGGGCGGGGAGCCCACGTGAGAGCCGAGTCCCGGGCAGAGGGCGCGGGCGGGATCGCGGGAGGCCGAGGAGAGGCGGCGGGGCGAGGGGCCCGGAGAGGGTCCCGGAGCCGGCGTCTCTTGGGCTCGCCCCGGGACGAGAGCGCCCTGCCCCGCCCGGCCTCCCGGATCGCCGCCGTCAGCGCCGCCCTCTGGACGCCACGAGCAGAGCGCCCGCCGGCTCCGTGGGTCACAGACGCGCTCGCCGAGGGGCCCGGGGCGAGGCTGAGGCCAGCGGCGCGTCGGGCTCGGGACTCCCCCAGGCACCAACGGGCAGTGCCCGGAGTGTGGCGGCAGCAGCTGGGGCGGGTCACCCGGAGGCGCCGCGGATGCTCCTGGTTTCCAAGGCGACGCACGGCACGTACGTGACGTCTGTCTCCATGGTAACCAGGAAGTGGAGAGGAAAGGGAGCCGGCCGGAGGCTGCAGTGGGCTCTGGAGCCCGCACGAGGGGTGGGGGAGGCGGAGGGGGCGCTGCAGAGGCTTCGGCCCAGGCCGGGAGGAGCGGGCGCCTGCAGGGTTTAGTGGGAAGCGTGAGAGAGCCGTTCGCTGCAGACACCTCCGCGTCCCGGAGAGATCGGCCCTCCCCTAACGGAGGGCGAGGCCCAGCGCGACTGCCCTGAAGGATTTTTGCAGCCCTCAGTCCTTTCCCAGAGGACGGCGCTAAAGTAGGGTCCTGCCTCCCTGTCCTGCAGCGGTGCTCAGGAGGGCGGAGGGGCAGCGAGGCTGATGCCGGCCGTCCCAGAGTTGGGCTGGGCGTGCTGGCGCTCCGGAGCCGGCCCCACCAGGCCTGGCGGTGCAGAGGCAGGAGGAGGGCACTACGGAGCTTTCCGCAGTAAATCAGCCCTGTCTCTACAGAAAGCCTGTCTCTACCGGAGCCGGGGAAGGACGGGACTCCCTTCTTTGTGGGACCCTGCTGCCCCCACCCAAGTCCCCGGGAGTCTGCCCGGATGGGGAGGCCAAGTCCTTAAGTTTGGAGAATGAAAGCTCCGTAAGGGCGAGATTTTCGTCCCCGCTGCTCCCTCCATCACGGAATCCCCAGCTCCTAAAATAGTGCCTGGCACCTAGTATATAGATGCTTAATATAGTGATTGAATGAAAACTTTACCAAAAACCACCAAGTCCCCTGCTGTCATCCAGAACTCTCCAAGCCAATCGTAGTGGGTTTTAGGAGACCCGAATTCAGTTTCGTTTCCACCACTTATTCATTCAGAGATCTTAGCCACATCATTCGCCTCATCTGTTAGGGAATTGGACTGGATAATCTGCAATCTCATTTCTAATTCTGAATAACACTCTGCAGCATCTCACAGGTGAGAAGGTAAACAGACCGCTGGCCGTTGTGTGGAGGGGATGAATGGAGGGACTGCGTGTTAGAGTAATTCCCGCTCTCTCTTTCAGTGCCCAAGTTCAGACCTACACTGAGTGTCCCCAACCTTTGTGACAACCCCTTTCCCTATTTAAGGGGTGGAGCAGGAAGGGCGGAGGAAGAAGAAAAATGGTCTTTAATATATGTAGATGATACCAGATTGAGAAGGAATGGGCACCTGGGCGGAGCACACCAGTTAATAATGATCCTAGGAAATTAGGGAAGACAAGTGATCAGAAACCAGAAATGAAATTCGCAAGAATGAATCTGGGGAAGAGAAACAAACTGTATCACTTCAAGATAGAGAAGAACTAGGTAGAGGTGAGTGTTTTGTAAATTGGCGATTCGGCAACAGCAAATGTGTTACCTTGGGTTTTCCCTGGTTATGTGCTTGGTGATGAAGATGAAGCTGGCCCAGGGAAACTTTAATGACACTAGAGGACTGTTTGGCCTATACCAATCTTCTTGCTATTAAAATAGAAACAAGTTGGGAATATCCTAAATGACCAGCAGCAGAATGTTTAAATAATCTAAGGCAAAATTGCTGTTGTAATGAAGTATTGTGCAGCCACTAGAAATTTGATTTCCCAAAACGAATATATGAGCACATCTTAAAAACATAGTATTGCACTTTCTAAAACTAATGATTCAACCCTATTTGCTTGCTCATTTCTCCCTTCCTTCAACAGACTTCCAGCACTCTCACCTTGGCTAGGACTCTTACCTCTGCTATGTACCCCACACGTGGTAATAGCACCTTAGGTTACTCCTGAAACTCTGGCTCAGGAGAGGACAGAAATGCTCTTCCTTGGTTTCCATAAGCCGAGCTGAAGTGGGCTTACGGGAACCAGGGAAAAAAAGAGACTTTATTAAAAACTGTAGGAAAACTAGAAATAGAGACAGGACACATGAAATAGCTGAGCTTACACAGCATAAGTTTCTGATTATACTACAGCAAGCATGTTCTCAGGGCTTATGGGTTCAACCCTGCTTTCATCCTTCCCAGGAGAACTGCAATCGCCAGAAAAGACCGGCATAGCTTTCAGGCTTTCTTTCTGGTTCTGTTACTTTACATCTCTTGACAACCACTTCACATGGTAGATTTCATCTTGCTGTTCGCCCTTCACATATATCCCTGCCTTCTACCTACAAAGAGTGGCTCTGTCATAGTGAGGGACCTCTCATCTTTGGCATCCCATAAGCTTACATTAAGCATAGTCCCCATACAGGAGGAGCTGTGGCATGTCATCATACAAGGCCTTTTGCCATTATCGTTGAGAATACCATGTATGTCAGTGCTTTCAGCATAAGATTACATCCTGCCGGCCAGAGGTGCTGGCCATGAAGTCCACTGAGAGTACGACGGGTCTGAGCCCAGAGGGAGGGGAAATTATCGGAGAGAGACCCTGGGAAACACAGGCAGAGGATCAAGTAGTGTGGCTGATCCAGTCACATTCCAGGTCAAACATTTGAAAGCCAAGGGCAGGTGGGAATTGGGGGAGTGGACCAGTAGCAGGATTTGAAAATACAGGAAGGTGAATGGGTGCAGTGGCTCATGCCTATAATCCCAGCACCATGGGAGGCTGAGGTGGGTGATCACTTGAGGTCAGAAGTTTGAGACCGGCCTGGTTAACATGGTGAAAGCCTGTCTCTACCAAAAACAAAATTAGCTGGGCACGGCAGTGGGCTCCTGTAGTCCCAGCTACTCCAGAGGCTGAGGCAGGAGAATCGCTCAAACCCAGGAGGCAGAGGTTGCAGTGAGCTGAGATCGTGCCACTGCAGTCCAGGCTGAGTGACAGAGCGAGAGTCTGTCTCGAAAAAAAAAAAAGGAAGGAGACATTGGTGCATCTGACAGAAAACCAGATCATTTCAGGAACTCTGTGTGAAAATGAGACAAGGTAGGAATGTCTAGTCTCAGGAAAATAAGAACAGACACAGAACTTCGGTCTGCTGGCTGGTCACAGGGCTGGGCCTTCTGGATGCCCAGCAGTTAGTTGCCTGTATCCATTTCCAGGCAAAAGGGGGCCAGATGTGTACCCCAGCCATCCTGTTAGGATATTTAGAGGAACTGCCACATAGGAAGAGAATATAACCCCCTGCCTACCTTCTGCTTCATGGCTCTCTGTTATCCTCTTGGAATCACCTTAGCTGTTGTTCCTTCATCCTTCTCTCATCAACTTGTGGGGAGAGACTTCCATGCTGCCTACGTTTAGGTTTCCATCAGGCACACCTAGTTTCAAACATCGTATTCTTACTAAAATTGGGATTCAGAAGAGGCCCTGACATTTTCCTCTGTCTGGCGTTCAGTATATCTCTAGTTTCTATTTTATACGGCTGCTGTATATGTTGCACTATAAATGCAATCAAGCTGGCTAGATTCAGGTCTAGAGCAATGATCTAAAACAAGATACAGCTGAATGCTGTACTTAGGCCCCAAATCCCAGACAATATCCCCCAAATAGAACTTTTATGAAGCTGAGCTGCTTTGTGGCCCATCGCAGCACAGTATCACATTCAAAAGAAACACATCCGACAGCCAAAAGAATTAAAAAGCAATTTAGATTTTTATTACAGTCTCTGGGCAAACTCTAAAGGGGTTTACACTCTTGGTGCACAGCAAAACATTTGAAACTTCTCCTCCTTCTCTATTTGTTCCACACATTACGGCATAGCTGATGCCGCAGGTCTCTCTCCTTTCTCCCCAAACACCCTCAAACTTTCAAGCCTAGCCCTTGCTTTCTCACTCCTCCACTCTCTTCAGTTCTTGGGTGTATTATTTTTCTTTCCTGCAAGAAAAAGCTTCTTGTCCTCATGTTAATCAGGCCAAGCTTGTTTTAGCTCCTTTGATTCTGTCCCTCCCTCCCCCAATCTGCATGAGTACTGGGAACCCCAGCTATCGATTACAGGGGTCTTCTCAGAGGATAAAACAGATGGAGAGGCTGAGAATATTCGCATTGCTGTGGGTTTTGTCTGTCACATAGACCAGTTTTTCTCAGCACCAGAGAGTAGTTTACCTGGCCTTACAGCCAACCTGCTTTGTTCCTCTCCCCCACATTTGCACAGAGAAGTGGACATGGTGGTTTGCAAAGATCCCGAGCCCTTATGCGCCTCTGACTGGAGAGGGGAGCCAACTGTCCACACCCTCAAGTTTATTTAGCATCACAGAGATGGCCCTCTGGTGAGCCACCTACCCACCCCTCGTGTAAGGCCTGAACTGCACTTCCAGGTGCTTGCTCTGTGACCTCAAACTATTTTTAGGAGTCTTTAAGGCCACCCCTAACCCCTTATTTCTCTTCCATATTAACTTTACTCAGAGCAAGAATTCTTGGGGAACTTCCAACTTCTCATGCAATATGAGTCTCCACTGACAAGCCTCCATTCCAATGAAACCTGTTTTGCCAGTGTCACCCCATCTGCCCTCTCTGCCCTGCCCGCCGCAGCAGCTTCCCGTAGATCAACACTTGCAGAGGCTTTTGCCCCCACCAGTGCATATTCAAACACGTATTCAATGTCACGGTGATGTCAAGTCTCTGGGTAACTGGCCATGGACACAGAAGCATTCGGAACTCTGGAACCACCGTGATCCCTGGTACATGGCCTCAAGCACCTTCCATCATCCCCATAAATTATTTTGCCCCCAGAAAGTTGTCATTTTTGCAAAAGCTGGTTTGGCCTCCAGTTAGGCATTGATGGTGCTGCACCACCTGAAAAGAACAATTTCTAGTTCAGTGGGGCAATTTCGTTTGAGCGGTTGGCTCTCCCAGAGTATCAGTCCAATCTGAAGGAAATCATGACCAAACATCTACGGTAGGATAGGGACTATGGTACGGTATGTGCGCCGCGAACCTCTCTTCCGTGAAAGGTACTTTTAGGAGTTTAATGCCCTTCGTAGCTGGCTTATGCAAACTTCCAGGACCTCCCTTGTCTGTCATATCTTGAGGAAACTTGTGCTATTCTATCCTACAGAATTCTAGAAAACGTTGTAGGTCCCACT